TGGAAACTCATAAGCACCAAGGTAGTGCAACATTCACTACTGACTCTTACTACGTACATTGATTGAGCTAGGTGGGGGTGGACATCGACTGACACGTATGGCATATGTCATTTGCATTTTGAACCCTCGGTTCTGTTCCACTTTGAGGAGTGTTAGCTTACATAGGATTGGGGTGGAAAAGAATTAGAGATAGTGTGAGGCTACAACACGGCACCCATCGATGAAGACATTGTTTGTTGTTCTGAGCCATCTTGTAAGGTGTAGCTTGTATGGCTAGAGACATTTCTAATAAACAAAGTAATATGGAATTGCATACTACCACAATGACCAAGTTTTACGCATATGTTTTTAATTGTAATGTGAAGACGTAGTTCACTGACTTAAACACCTGACTTTCTGCCAATGAGTGCTCTGTTCGAATTCTACTCCACCTTGACAGCTAGGTAGAGTCATTAGCTCTGACCTAATAAGTGTAACAGAAATTATTGTGTACACGAAGATGCTCTTCCCGGAGTTACTGACTTACCTATAAATAGTACAGTCAATGAAACAGGTGGTATGGTAAAGGCTTAATTGGTTCACTTCATGTTTAAAGTTAAATTCGAACTGTTTCCATAGCAGATTGTAAAACCACATCTCAGAGCGATTGAATTTGGGAACTCTTTATTCAGAGAAATTTATTTTACCGTTTCATGCGGAAGGACGAAGTAAAATGTAACAGTTTGAAACACTTCATTACATTTAGCATCTTTTGACTGGGGTTTGATTCCTGTATAATTTTGAGAGATGATGATGAATACATAAGTGGTTACATCTTAAAAATGTCTCACTCTAAGACGACTAGTTCTGTGTAATTTTTAATACAGTTTAGAGTAAAAAACGAATCAGAAGCAGACAATCGATACAATTTATGCATTCTTCGAAAGTGGTAATAAAATTTCAAAACTCCCAATTTGTACAATAATTAAAACTTTATTGCACCGAAAGACAAATTGCTGATATAATGAAACAGAAAATGTCATATAAATTCAAATTATTTAGAAATGAAGTTATTACCTCCATCTCTTGAGACTTGTTTTCCAGTCTACTTGGAAGATTATCGTTTGCCATTAGGAGATTTTTTACTTTCTCCAGCAAAACAGCGATACATGGTTTGGAATGTGAATTGTAGTCTATTGATGATATATTCCCTTGACATTTAAGTATGAAATGAATGCACAGAACATATGGCTACAATTGCATTTTAACACCGTTGAGTTTCTCTGATCTACGATGAAACAGCCCTTCCTTCATCACCTGTTGTATCCTGCCAATCGATGATGAAGTTCTGACACGGAGCACTAGACTCCTTACAGCTTGTTTATCCTTCAGTGGACGTGAGAAGTAAGACAACTGTAGCTAAGTTTAATACAGGTAACTTCATACTGGTCTTGAACAAGGAGGAGAGACATGTGAACCTATGAAAATACCAACGGTTAGCATATAGAAACCTAAAGAACAGGAGCCGCATCTCCCAACTCCAATGAATATGGTACTAGTACACAATAAACGAATAACACTAACGGGAATCGGCATGCACTCTTTATTTGCTCACTCGATATCAGAGTAGGACAGTTTCTGACTGAAAACATGAGATTTATTCTACCACATTATACAAAATGATCGTTAAAGTATTCAAAGCTTTGTAAAGTATTAAGGTGAGGTTTCTACATATCATGCTAAAAATAATAGTATTAATCTTATTTGCCCATTTGTTTCGTTTATTTTTGGACTCCTTTTATCGCAAATGTTACGTTTATTGCTCTTTTTTCTTGACATCGATCGAAGTGTTTTGCGTTCCGTCTATCTGTGGGGACGGTTCATTATGTTTGTAGACTCTAGGAATGTCATATGTCGCATTTTGTGGTCTAATCGTTTCATTTCCAACTTTGTCAGCATCCAGAGTCCACTTGTTCTCCTGCATAATTGTTTGTAATCACTGCAACTAAGACGCCGAGCCGCGCTTTTCAGGGGTGCTGGTTTTTGGCGGATTTAATGTGAGCAGATTCATTTTCATAAAAAGATTTCTTCTACTGGGGATGTTCAGTTCTGGCGCGTTTCCAGGAGTGAACAATTCCCCTATCCCCAGTAGAAGAAGTCTTTCTATGAAAATGAATCTGCTCACATTAAATCCGCCAAAAACCAGCACCCCTGAAAAGCGCGGCTCGGCGTCTTAGTTGCAGTGATTACAAACAATTATGCAGGAGAACAAGTGGACTCTGGACGCTGACAAAGTTGGAAATGAAACGATTAGACCACAAAATGCGACATATGACCATTCCTAGAGTCTACAAACATAATGAACCGTCCCCACAGATAGACGGAACGCAAAACACTTCGATCGATGTCCAAGAAAAAAGAGCAATAAACGTAACATTTGCGATAAAAGGAGTCCAAAAATAAACGAAACAAATGGGCAAATAAGATTAATACTATTATTTTTAGCATGATATGTAGAAACCTCACCTTAATACTTTACAAAGCTTTGAATACTTTAACGATCATTTTGTATAATGTGGTAGAATAAATCTCATGTTTTCAGTCAGAAACTGTCCTACTCTGATATCGAGTGAGCAAATAAAGAGTGCATGCCGATTCCCGTTAGTGTTATTCGTTTATTGTGTACTAGTACCATATTCATTGGAGTTGGGAGATGCGGCTCCTGTTCTTTAGGTTTCTATATGCTAACCGTTGGTATTTTCATAGGTTCACATGTCTCTCCTCCTTGTTCAAGACCAGTATGAAGTTACCTGTATTAAACTTAGCTACAGTTGTCTTACTTCTCACGTCCACTGAAGGATAAACAAGCTGTAAGGAGTCTAGTGCTCCGTGTCAGAACTTCATCATCGATTGGCAGGATACAACAGGTGATGAAGGAAGGGCTGTTTCATCGTAGATCAGAGAAACTCAACGGTGTTAAAATGCAATTGTAGCCATATGTTCTGTGCATTCATTTCATACTTAAATGTCAAGGGAATAAGTTCGGCAGGTAGTTAAAACTTGTAGTCCATTAGAGTAGTTGACGTTTTGTTAATCTTAAAACGTTTTTGTGGAAGGTGGTGAGCATTCTTTCAAAGCACCTACATGAATGAATTGCATTGCCTCCCACGTGTTTAGGGTTATCAGTATCTATATGAAAATCGGATTATTTTAGATAATTTATAATGATTCAGTCTGATTGGGTGCTCGAATTATTACAGACAATTTGTGACATCTACGGTCTGGAAACTCATAAGCACCAAGGTAGTGCAACATTCACTACTGACTCTTACTACGTACATTGATTGAGCTAGGTGGGGGTGGACATCGACTGACACGTATGGCATATGTCATTTGCATTTTGAACCCTCGGTTCTGTTCCACTTTGAGGAGTGTTAGCTTACATAGGATTGGGGTGGAAAAGAATTAGAGATAGTGTGAGGCTACAACACGGCACCCATCGATGAAGACATTGTTTGTTGTTCTGAGCCATCTTGTAAGGTGTAGCTTGTATGGCTAGAGACATTTCTAATAAACAAAGTAATATGGAATTGCATACTACCACAATGACCAAGTTTTACGCATATGTTTTTAATTGTAATGTGAAGACGTAGTTCACTGACTTAAACACCTGACTTTCTGCCAATGAGTGCTCTGTTCGAATTCTACTCCACCTTGACAGCTAGGTAGAGTCATTAGCTCTGACCTAATAAGTGTAACAGAAATTATTGTGTACACGAAGATGCTCTTCCCGGAGTTACTGACTTACCTATAAATAGTACAGTCAATGAAACAGGTGGTATGGTAAAGGCTTAATTGGTTCACTTCATGTTTAAAGTTAAATTCGAACTGTTTCCATAGCAGATTGTAAAACCACATCTCAGAGCGATTGAATTTGGGAACTCTTTATTCAGAGAAATTTATTTTACCGTTTCATGCGGAAGGACGAAGTAAAATGTAACAGTTTGAAACACTTCATTACATTTAGCATCTTTTGACTGGGGTTTGATTCCTGTATAATTTTGAGAGATGATGATGAATACATAAGTGGTTACATCTTAAAAATGTCTCACTCTAAGACGACTAGTTCTGTGTAATTTTTAATACAGTTTAGAGTAAAAAACGAATCAGAAGCAGACAATCGATACAATTTATGCATTCTTCGAAAGTGGTAATAAAATTTCAAAACTCCCAATTTGTACAATAATTAAAACTTTATTGCACCGAAAGACAAATTGCTGATATAATGAAACAGAAAATGTCATATAAATTCAAATTATTTAGAAATGAAGTTATTACCTCCATCTCTTGAGACTTGTTTTCCAGTCTACTTGGAAGATTATCGTTTGCCATTAGGAGATTTTTTACTTTCTCCAGCAAAACAGCGATACATGGTTTGGAATGTGAATTGTAGTCTATTGATGATATATTCCCTTGACATTTAAGTATGAAATGAATGCACAGAACATATGGCTACAATTGCATTTTAACACCGTTGAGTTTCTCTGATCTACGATGAAACAGCCCTTCCTTCATCACCTGTTGTATCCTGCCAATCGATGATGAAGTTCTGACACGGAGCACTAGACTCCTTACAGCTTGTTTATCCTTCAGTGGACGTGAGAAGTAAGACAACTGTAGCTAAGTTTAATACAGGTAACTTCATACTGGTCTTGAACAAGGAGGAGAGACATGTGAACCTATGAAAATACCAACGGTTAGCATATAGAAACCTAAAGAACAGGAGCCGCATCTCCCAACTCCAATGAATATGGTACTAGTACACAATAAACGAATAACACTAACGGGAATCGGCATGCACTCTTTATTTGCTCACTCGATATCAGAGTAGGACAGTTTCTGACTGAAAACATGAGATTTATTCTACCACATTATACAAAATGATCGTTAAAGTATTCAAAGCTTTGTAAAGTATTAAGGTGAGGTTTCTACATATCATGCTAAAAATAATAGTATTAATCTTATTTGGAATGTGAATTGTAGTCTACTGATGATATATTTGATTTACTGACATCACATTTTAAATGTACTAGCAAATCATTTATTTCTGTTTTTGCTGTTTCACTCAACTGCAATTCCCCGTGGTAATTATCCTCTTTGATTCCCCAAACAGCTCTTTCTTGATTCAATCTCGGTTCAAGCTACAAAAATGGAAATAGTCTGGCGAAGAAGCCATTAATGTTCGTAAATAATGAGGAAAAATATATACAACTCAAGACTTTAGCTACTTGTGCTGTAACTGATTAGTCTTCTTGTGATGCTATACATATTTTGTGTGAAACAAATATTTTTTTATCCTGAGAACCACAATCTATGTAACATTACACCATACATTATCACATAGCACTATCTGGAATATTCTGAAGTTTTAACTACCCAATAAACTTCTGCAAACCTTCGCCAAATTGTTCGTATATCATGAAATCTACGTTGAAACACATCAGTTGAAGACAATCACGAATCTATTAGCGTAGTACTTGATTAACTGAAAGATTGCTGTAACCATCAATGCAAACTTCTATTACCGTAGATTTAAATACCAAAAGCATTGGGAACACTTATTTGTTGATGAGTAGTATAGCAGGAGAAACATCTATCCGGAGTTACTGAACATTTGTTGTGGTGTTTTACTTCATAATTAGTGCTTTGAAGCAATCTGGAATGCCTTCAAATGGGAAATTAAACTGATAACGTGTTAATGGATTACTTAAGTTGTCGACAACATTAGTTTTTTCAACCTAAAGTATTCTATCATTCTACTAAAAATAGTGAAATAATGTACAAACCATCTCTCGATAAAGGTGAAACCAATTATACCACTACAACTCACCTCATAGTAGGATTTTTTACTGACATGCAGCTGAACATTAAGCCTTTCAATCTCTAGAGATGCATCTTTCGTAGCAGCTTGTTCTATTTGTAAATTCATCAACACTGATCTCATTTGTTCACGTAATTGATTATCGTGTTTCTTATTTAAGACTTGCATTTCTTCAACTTTTTCTCTTAACTGTTTCAACGTACATTCTTTTTGTTCTAACTGTGTTTTTAATTTAGCACATTCACATATGGCATTTTCTTTTTGCTCTCGAAGTATGTTGATTTCTTGATCAATCGACTGACAATTTGATAATAATATAAAAACGGTGGATAATGTGTGGTTCATACTGGTTTGACGCAACAAATGTAAGAATGATTGCATTGCGTAAAATAGTGCAACGGGTGTGCAAACGATAAATCAGTATTATGATATCCATCAGGTCACATTCTGTGATCTGAATACTTCTTACTTCCGAACTGTGTAATTTTCAAGTGAAGAATTCTATTCGATGTATTACGGGTTAGTGCGTTTTCAACTGATTCAGCTCCCTGAGTAGAGCTGAACAGACTACACCACTGATGAAGTTAGCTGGATAAAAATGAAATAGCTGTTCAGTCATTAGATCACTTTAATCTGTCTGGAAACAAATACTGTTTGGTGTGAGTGGTATTCAGCTACTTATATGAACCAGTGGTATATACCAAATTTTCACTTCATTTAAATGAGAGATTTGGGTTGAGTTTCGTGGCCAGAGTGGAACTACAATCATCTACCTGTGAACTTTGTCGGAGACAATTTTAGTCCTACAATAGTTCAAGACATTAAGGGAACTCTTAACTCAAACCTGCTTCATTCAGTATTAGAGTGAGAAACCATATCGTCGGGTTGATACAGAAGTAGATCGGACAACGTTAGCTGGTTGTGACCCGAAGAGAGAGAAGAGGGAAGGTCAGGCGTGAGGCTAGCAATCCCACCATGTAAAAACCACCAGTGGTACAGGAACTTCAAAGTTGAAGCTGGAAACCGTGTCCTTTTCGGAACGCAAAAGGAATAAAGTAAATAGTAATAAATAAAATTGAGGTTCTGTATGGGTATTTCAATTATTCATCATCTTGCACAATCATTCCTCCCTTAGTGATAGGATCACGATTTTCAATATTATGGTTCAATGAGACATGCGAAAATCGTCCTCCAAATAAGAGTTTTCAGACGGCACCTCACCAGGTCAAATTGAACTGAGATAATTGTCTCCTCTAATATTGTGGAGGAGTGCATAAAAATCCATTGCAGCGCCAAATTCGCTTGCGCTAAGATCGATGACAATGCTTATACATGAACAACACAGCGACACTATAACGTACCAAATATGATTCCTGTTGTGCTACCATAGTAGATCCAGCTCAGGAGGGCTTCGTGTGCTTTTGGAGGTGTGTGGGCGGTTGTTACTTCCCGGCTGCCCACACCGTGGAAGTTGATAAATTCTTCGGGTACCTGAAACAGCGAGAGGGTTATTGTTGCGTTACCGCAGAGCCCAAGGGACAACTGCTTGAGGCCGGTCACACACGGCCTGTATGAACTGGTTTCTGGGATTGGTTCCGTATTGGTGAATCTACCGCCGTTTACGGACCACCGTAGGGTGAATCGAGACATACAATTGTTTGGGTCGACGTTTTCCAACCCCTCCCTCCAGGGTGGGGAGACAGCATAGCTGTGATGCTGGCCATCTGAGGGAAACACCTCACTGTCGTCACATCCCTGTTCCCCATCAGTACGACTTCGCCCTCAGACCCCCAGCATAGGGTGAAAAAATTCTTACACTATGCCGGTAACTGCTTTTAGTCTAATCGCTATCCTAACAACCCTCCTGGCATGGTAGGATCTGCAGGAACATTTGTTTCAGTCAGTGTAGCTTGTTGGGTCGTCGCGATGTGTAAGCCCGACTACCACACCAAGGTAGTAGCTATCGGTAAATCCACGTTTTCACGTTCTCCTACTTGCTAACGCCATACACGGCCAAAGACGAACAACGTTGTATTCAGAAGGACAACTGGAAACTTAGAAAGATGTATTGTTAACGAAATCAGATATCAAAGAGCTCAAGGCGAACGCAAAATTGTATGACAGTGTAAAATAGGTATGTAACAAACTAAAAGCAGTGTTCAATAACACAACGGCAAATATTCCGCAGGCATATGTAAAATTAGTTTCTTTAAACGTATTATATGGGCATGTGAATCAGTTTTATAAGCGTACAGCTAGGCTTAATATAGGGTCGTTACAACACAACGTTTATTGACTCAAGTGCCAGCGACACTTTCTATGTATCATTAAAATAGAAAGTGAATGTTACTAGTGATGGGCCTACGACGCCCATTAAAAACTTCTGGAAACTTATTTTTATCATTAAGTGCTTATAATTAAAGCTAATTAATCACTGGTTTTCCATAACAAGCATCAGGGAAATAAGGTGAAGAATAAAAAACCTCGTCTGTTGAAACAGATCCTGAGGAAGTTGTGGTGAAGAAATTTATTTATGTCAACTACATATGATAGTAACGAATAATGGTACACTGAATAAAAGCACTGGACGGGGTTGGTTCATGAGTTTATCAAGTCTAGAGAAATTTTGGATTGATGGATTACTCCAGGTAGAAGCATTTATTCAAAAGGGAATATATTTCCATAAAACCCTGAAGAGCGGATTAGTGATCATGTAACTGTGAACATTGTTTAAGGAGATTCGTAAGCATCTACATATCCAGATTGTTAATAACGAAAATTTCTACTCTCTCGAGTAACTGGCCACATAGTAGAACTCCTTTGTATTTTAGGCGAACTGGTACCTTTAAATGGCTATAAAAGAGAAGTGATATTGTTATTTCCTATAATTTGGTTAGGAGATTAATTCGAGTGAGCGCTTACTAGGCCTATCTGGCGTATAGAGCGATACATTCAATTAACTCCTTGGCTTTAAACGTCTTCAATATTGCCGTTCCACTCTTTGTCAAAGATCGTTGCTACTGGAAATTCCATTAGGCAGGTCACAAAATGGTAGTGAAACAGAGTAATTGATTTTATTCAAGGCGACAGTCAACAAGAAGACACTAAGGCTTCAAAAAATTCCGCAAACAAACGTACATGAAACAAGATTTATGAAAATTCCTGAACCTCTTGCAATCACTCTACTTAATCCTTTGAGATACATTTCAAAATGAGGCGACTTTTCTTTGTTTCTTTAGGAGTAATTTGAATATGAGTGTTAGAACCACCTGCTAACTCATTTGAGTAAGTATTCAGTAGTATAATAACAACTTGAATCACTGTAGAATAACCATTACGACTGACTATAAGAAAGGCTTTTAGAAGCTATCGCTTCACCGTCAGCCGCAGTACGTAAATTTTATGTAGTCACACCACCACGAAGAGGATAAAAAGTCGTTGTTATCCTCATCAACACAACAGGTCTGTGTATCTTACAATATTTTAAGTATTTCTCTATTGTGTTAACACTGTGCATAGCTGTTTAGAGTTGAGGCATGTTCAACTTATATTTGATGGCTATAGTTTCCTATACATGAGAATGTAATGTCTGTAGGACTCTCAAAACCATGTCCACTAGACATTACTGAGATTGTGGATTCATTTCTAAGTTACACACTTGCAGTACTTTCTTTAATGTAAACGTATTTAGTGTGAAATTGATCTGCAAGTAATCTTGAGGAGAGAATGACGCCTCAACAGTATGGATGTTTCAAAGATTATCTTGAAATTTGCGTATAATCCTCTAATACTGGAAAACATGTGAGGTCTATTTATGCATACGGCGTCAATGTAAAAACCAGCTGTGGACTACAAATACTTTTATTTGCATGGGAATTCTACTTGATATTAAAGAGAAACAGTGTATTCATATTGTATACTAATATGTTGAATTATGTTTTATGACTTCATGTTGGGCTAGTCCTTACATGTGCTTTAATTTTTCAGGTATACGGAGATTGTCGAATATAAAAAATCAGCGGAAATGTCAATCGGTCAAACTAACGCTAATACCCTTCATCGGAATTTTGTAAATTAATGAAATGTTTAATATACTCTTAATGTCTACTTCTCTCGGGCTTCTTCAATGCGTCGCTATACTATGTACTTTTGTAATATGTGAATTCAGATTAATGCACGTTAACCTTAGTTAGTGAGATGCAGATTTACTATAGTTTTATGAAACTGTTATCTCAGTCACTCAGAATTTCGCGTCTGTTTCTATAGAAAAGTAAATTGAAAAATTACGTGGGATTTAACAAAATGAATGATAATTCTGCACTGTTCGATACGCTAAAGTCGCCAAGTCTGTAGTACAAGTAAGTGTAGTAACTTGGGGTTGATAGCTATTTCATCAGTCTGTCAATATACAGTGAAATCACTAGATAGGCTGTTCACTTGACAAACAATGGGCAAAGAAGCGATTTCTATTTATTTCCAATATGCCGTTGAATCATGTGATATTATCAAACATCCATCATTTTTATGACCAACAACTGCAGTGTTTACATTTTTACCTTATGGATATTAAATTACCTACACTTTCATGCATCTAATTACAACCAATAGACTTTGATGACGTCACTTTATACTGCTTGACGTGTTCTTCTTGCTTCAATTGAGATGATAGCGTGTTTCACAGTACTCATCACACAGCGTATCAGTCTTAAATGTATACCAGATGCGCGGGCATAATGTTTATCAGCTAGGTATGCAAATCAAAGTAAACGCTTGTACGGTACATTCATTATTTATAAGACTAACTAGTATGTAGCAACTAAGATTTGACCAGTTATAAAACGTTTAATGTATTTAGACACAATCAACGTACGCTACTTACTTCTTTCACGTATTACCTAAAGCTACGTAGCTACCTTAAAATAGTTTCCGTTGAAGGTAATCTCCTGTAACTACCACCTTAGTGAGCAACTTCACGTTATCTTTAAATTAAAGGTTAAAAGTCGACATCCTGAGACCTCTCTTGGTAAAAGGATGATCTCCTACTCGAAAAGGTAAACATCTCCAAATCTCCGAAAACACCTATTAAGTCATAAAGAAAATAAAAGAAAAATTCACCGAAGAATATTTTCCTTATCGACGAAATCATCTTCAGAAGCTGTACAGTCGTATTTATACTTATATGTGACGACAATACCGACATCGAATTGATAACTAAAGAGTTCAACAGCTGCCATCATACCATCCTGTTCACATCGGAATCATAAATGAACTCAGAATTCCATTTCTGGACATTCTCCTAGAAAGGAAATCTGATGGTTCTCTTCAAAGATCGATCTACAGGAAACCTACATGAAATGATCAGTACAAAAATTTCCACAGTTGGGTCCCTTTGAGAAGAAAGAGAAACCTGATCCACTCCTTATCCTCAAGAATAAGGAGGATGTGTTCCAGTGATACAATCGAGGGGAACTTGGGCGACTGAGACAAGTCCTCATAAAGAATGGATATCCTCCAGGATTTATCGAGAAAAACATGAAGGGAAAAGCCTGAAAGAATCCAGACGGTACAGAAGAAACTGCCATTTATGAGCGTTGAATTTCAAGGTGATACCGTAGCTGAGATCCTGAAGAATCGCTTATACAGATCACTGAGGAAAGCCTTCTTTACGGCTGAGCTATGTATCAATTTCTATAGTCGACAAATGATCAATGGATGTGTGAAGGATACACTGCCGCTTTGGGCCACCACAATGTGTGTTTACAAACACGCCTGCTCGTGTGGATCGAGTTATATTGGCTGCACAAAGCGTACACTTTCCAAACGCATCTCTGAACATTATCTGGCATGGTTAGCAAAGGGATAATGCGAGACAATTACTAGCTAAATTCTCGAGCATATGGTGAACTCAAGCCACGTAGCTCCAAGAGAGCCGTTTATCAAGATCATCTACAAGGTGAGGCCAAATGGAAAAAGGGCCTCAAGTTTAGATTATTGTATGGCGGAGGTACTGGTGATTCATCAATAAACGCCGAAATCTGTATGCAGAAAATGTTTGTCAACTCTATTATTCCAACTTGGGCTTGATATGTAGTCACATGATGTCTACCTTGTTTTGATAGTCTGTTATATTTTGCTATGTGTATAGTGATCGATATTCCATTATAACTTACAATATGCTTTGTCTGTCCATTAACTAAATAAACAATGTATGACCTTTTTTGTCACATGACATTACAACCAATCAAAACCCAATCATGGTAAGATGTCTATCTTATTGGTTCATGCATATTAGTCATATATACTTTTGTATTGAACACTTTGATACACACTTGTTCACACCTTTCGTACAATATGTACCCTTTCACTCACACACTTGTGTGACAGTCAATTTTCCCTGGTTGGAAATACACATATCATCGTGAACGTGGTGACCTTCTGATTTTCCCCTTTTCGCGTTAGGACAATTAACTACTCAGCAGTACATAACATAATTAGCGACGGGGATGGGATATGGATTCTTCAAAATTGGAATTACTATTTGAGCAACAAATGAAATTAATGGAAATGCTCATCAACAAGCAGACTGGTTCAGCTTCACCTTCAAGAACTGCGAATCATACCATGTCACGCTATGAGGATTTATTTACAGTTGATCTCGCCTCGCAAGACGATGCTTGGAAGGAAGTCTAATAATAGTTAATATGGAATTATTATTATTATGCTTAAGTGGTAGGAGCACAGTTACAAAGAAAGTTATCGAGATGAAGACTTCTTCATTTAGCTACATCATTTTGGTGTGTATAACTTGAGCATTATATATTATATTAAACATTTTGGTGCTACGATAAATTTGACTATTTAACAAACTGAATAATCATATCTCAAGTTCAGAAAAATTAGGATGCTAGAACAGTTTTTGAAGAAAAAAATATAATGTGAACAGAAACATGTTTTAAAGTCTATTCAAGTAAAAACTCCTCTGTAGTAAATAAATTTGTACAATTTTGGTAACCTTATGGTAAGAAATGTGTAGTATATACATGCAATCATATGTACACAGTTAGCTTTCCTTGAGAATATGAAACCTGAAAATCAAGAAAACGATGTATTATCAACATTAGTTTCCGGATTAGTCTGGGAAATATCTGATGAGATTAAATCTAACAATGGACGTGAGTTGGCGTTGTCAGTATCTGTAGATGACGTGGAACTAGCATCCATATCAACACATATTCTTACACATGAATTTTGAAGTTGACATACAGTCGACGAATTGGCTTCTGCATAATTAGTCGTGTCGTAAATTTGATTCACTGGGAGATTATTTTCCGCGTGTGTTTCAACAGCACGACGAATTTCCTTGTGAGTAATAAGATGGGAATCCAAAAACAAACTATGCTGTAAGCTAGTTGTTGGCATGGTGGTAGGTAAGCAGTCATTTGAGGAGAAATTTTTAGTAATATCTTCTCCTGCATTTGAAATTACTTTATTTTGTACAACAATTCGATCATGTGAAGTAGTTAGAGAATATGAAGAGGCAGCGCTGAGAGCAGTTTTCAAAAGTGACGTTGAACTATCACTTGGAGCTTCAGATGTCTGCTCACTTTTTGCGTGAACAAAGCAATCTGATTTAAGATCGCCTGAACTGGAGAAATTAGAGCAAACAACATCATCTGCAACTTTGACATTTGAAGCACATTCGTCATCAGAGAGTGCCTGTCCTTCAGAAGGTTTGGTAGCAACCAGTGGTACTTGACCAGTTGACTGGGTATCACTACTGTGTGCTGTAATATTGTCACAAGAAGTTGACGCTGAAACAGACGATGGTATTGAGTCACAAATTATGACATTAAGTTCATTATTCAGTGAGGAATTTTGTTGTGGAATTATTGTTGTTGAATTTGGTGCGGAAACAGTGACCTCAGATGCGGATACAGAAGTATTATAAAATGACGTTTCACAAGAATCTGCTGTCAACGTTACATCGATAGGGTTTGGCGAATTTGAAGTATTTACAAAATTTATGTTTTCATTCTTGATGCATGATATTTGTACGTCAGAAATAAGTGAAATATGTTCATTATCAGTAGATAGTATAGGTCCATTTGTATTGTTATTACAAGAAGTAACTGTATCATCATCCATAAGAAGATCAAGGAGACAAGGTTCAAGGTGTTCTGTATCAACTTCATCAGATTTTGGAGTAGGAGGATCAATCTAGAATGAAAATAGAAAAACAAAATTTAACCAAAAAACTACAAATTACCGTTAAGTCCACTTTGTCAAACCAACTCTGAAGTAATTCAGTTTTATCGTTATCGTACTGAGATTGAAGAGCATAAATAGCTTGAGAGTGTAGGCCGTCTGTTGCAGCATCCAAACGTTTAGCAACCCAACGACGAGCCCATCGACCGACTGGTTGGACAAATTTAAGCAAAGAAACTGCATATTCAATAAGACTTGGATCACTACTAAAGACCTCGCTCAGTTGTACCAATTGCATTGGTCTGAAAAAACAACAACAACCACAACAGTCACTAAAACATTAAATACAAAAAGAAAACTAAAGTTCATAATTATTGACAAAACTTTCTCTAGAAGAATTCATTTCACAGAAAATTCACACACTTCCTTAATAATTTCCTTAATATATATATAACAAGATGGTGATATAAGGGAATGAATACATGAATTTTAGACGTAGTTGTCTCCTCTGAGTTGGATGGTTTATTTGCGAAGCTTTTATTGGCCTATCATGCATCAAAATCATCCGCTTGAGTTATAAATCTTCTCCATTTTATCTACATGGGTTTTCTTCTGGTGTACAAAGATCACTATATTAATCATTAAACAATACATCAAGATCCTGATGGATACGTGTTCATCATTTTAAAACACTTTAATATTATTGAGATGTCGATTCTTAAAAAGAAGATCATAACATGAAATGAATGCAGTATGTACAAAAATGTCTCTAAGACACATTCATATTCCATCCCAGCCTGTTACTCAAGCTATTTAATTATCAATTAATACAGTAATGTAGAAACGTTAGGTGGTTTAATAAGGTAAGTAATGTTGACGTTAGGCGTAGAGTGTTGGGCAAAGAGGGAAAATCAATCGACGAGGTTATAAAGTTACATAGACTAAGATGGCTAGGTCACGTGGTGCGCATGCCTAACCACCGCCTCCCCCGACGGGCATTGTTAGCTGATATAGGTTCAGGTTGGAAAAGAGCCAGTGGTGGCCAAACAAAAACATGGCATCAATCCATGAAATCCTTGACAGTTAAACTGAGTCAGGTAGGGAGATGCAGACTCCCGGGTTGGGGCCCTCGCGACTCTAGGAATCAATGGCTGGAGACAATAGGTGACATGGCTCAAAATCGTTGTCAATGGCGCAGATGTATTCAATCTCTGTAATCTTTCATATTCCTTTCTACCATTACCCATTCTGTTTCACTCTTATATTTGTCAAACTCTATTAATTCTCTTCACTCATCTTCTTGTCTACCTCTGTGTGCTATTTGGAACGTGGCAACTCGAACTGCTGCACTTCGGTGCCAAGTTCTATGTTGAATCCAGACAGACAGACAGACAGAAACGTTAGACTTTTTATAGAAAAAAGTTGATAGTTTTGAGCTGAACTCATTCAGTGAGACAAAAAGTAGAGATGATCAAATTGTATTTAAAATCGCCAAGTCAAATGACTAATCATCTTTTATAACTTTAACTAATTGGGTCAGGTACCTTTAGTTTATTCGACAGCAAACGTTAAACATTTATCGGAGTAATCAAATCAACAGTAAAATAATGAAAATGATTGATGGTGCTCAATTTATCTAGCATATAAGAGGATGCCCAAACTAAAGAGGATCGGAAAAGCAAGAAAGACTTTCATTACCCGAAAAGCACTACGGAAATCTACTGCACTAAGCATAAGGAAAGAGATACGGATGTTCCGTACTAATGTTAAGTCACTTGGAACATCACCAAAAGCATTTCAAACAGTCTGTAGACGTTTATTAGCAGCTATCTTCACAGGATACTGAAGTCCAGATGACTGATTAGAGAGAACAATCAGCTAGGAACTCTGGGAACGATGGAGATTGATTGGACATAAGACAAGGAGACCGTTGAGTGACATTATACGCCATGCTTTCGAGTGGCGTGGTACCCGATTGGAAAACGATGACTCAGACATATAAGGGTGACATAGAATAGATCGTAAAAGGAGGAAATGAAAGCTTATGTGTAATCATAAACCAGTCTAAGAAAGAATGCAGATTACAGGATATAGTAGCGATGTGATGCTTAAGCCCTATGTTTCACTCGGAATCCACGGGAGTAATTGTAATAAGGGACTAACTGAACAAAAAGGATAGAATAAAGTTCATCAATGGAATTTACACAGCAGCGCGTCTGGTGTGAGGACAAATACCCGCCGATAACATTGGCTAGTGGTCACGCTTTATCGTAAATTGGAAAAAGTTGGAGGTCATGGGCTGGCCATTGGATCGAGTCCCAGCGGCTTAATGGTTTACGAGCTCGCCTTGTAACCGAAGAGTCTTGGGTTAGAAACCCGGTGTGTGTATGCTGATGACGAAACAGCTGTCCAGTACTTCCGGGCTTTCCAATGGTTCTCCAACCGATATCGGCTTCATGATGAACTCCTGAATATTTACAGCTTGAAGTGGAATTTCATCATTATTCCCATCGAAGACGTAAAATATTCAAATTACAATAAATTCAATTGCACAATACAGTTCAAATTACTTGACACTATAAGTAGTAGTGAGAGAGCAGCCACAATGTATAATACAATAAAATACGACTCACATTGCATTTCATTGAAATGTAAAATATGTTTAGCCAATAATGGTATTTAAGGAGTTTTCGCATTTGTGGCTTTTCGTTAAATAAATTATCTAAACCATTGTTCTCTAACTACTTAACATGTTCCTAACTTTCCATTTCTTTATTATCTTATATTTCTTTTTGTATGGCTTGATACATAAAATACAATTTCAAACTATCAATGATTCATACAAATTCACTCACTCCACAATGGTTAGTTTACCTTAGAAGTTTTGCTCGGATGAAGCCTTAAAACTGCCGAAAAAAAGTTCTTTGGACGTAGATTTTCGCTGTGAATCAATATCAGTTAAGGAGTCATTTTAAAAAAATGAGATGTTATAACGTATTCAGCTAACCATAGTCAATGCAACTATCCATACATATGTTTAAATACTTGTATAAACTGGGTGTTGGTTATTCCCAATTATGCAACTAAATGCAGGACAATCATGAGAACATGTTTTGAGTGAAATGGTTAAAACGGTACACTAAAATGTTTTCTGCAACTGGATATATGTTGACAACTGAAAAAAAAAATGATTGAAGTAAAAAACAGATAGGACCAAGAAGAAGTGGAACGATTCTAGAAAGTCACTACTAACTGTTGTGTTGAGAAGTACTGATTATCTTATAGTTTGAGTCAAACTTGATAAAAGAAATGCATGATAAGTAATAAATAATCCTTCAAAAGTGATTATGGTGAATCCAGGCCAATTGGTATGTCGTTTCTACTCTAAATTCTAACATAGCAGCTATGGTTTTGCTTTTTTTGCATTCTTCTTTCGTCTCATAGCATTCTACAAATTTTAACTGACTTCGACTTAATGTACAGACGAACATTTTGCCAATTTCAAATGTAGTGTAAAGAAGTTTGATTATATGAATGGTGACTAGCATCAAAATAATATTAGACACATATGGATAGAAATTTTAGACAGAATGGGAGCAACAATAACTACAGGTTAGGTTGGTAAGTCTTATAAATTATTTCATCTGTCTGTCTGTTTTCGACATAGGACTTTGCACTGATATGCGGCAGTTCGAGTCGCCACACTCCATGTAATACACAAAGCAAGAGAAGAAAGTAGAAGAAATCCATATTAGAGACAGTAAACATAGGTGTGAGACAAAAGAATAGTAATAACGGAGAACTAACATTGATATAAGAATAAAACTTGTGCATTGTGGTAGAGTATAATTCCATTATGGGTGAATTTTGTTTTGATAAAGTCCCACAGTGTTATACAGTAATGTTTACTGTTGACGTTTTGAGCACAATTTATTGCTCATAATCATATCAAGGTGCTCACACGACTTCCTAACTTCATTTATATAGTTCCATTATTTTTCACTTGATTTGATTGGTAGTAGCATTTTCCATATTTCAGGTATGAGTGATGGATCATTTCTATTGCATGTATTGGGTGTAGACTCGATGAACTAAACGGGATTCAGTAATCAACCTCTCTCTCCACCTACCTACATTACTTTTTAGAATTTCAACCCTCTCTCACCCTATTGTGTGGGACCTCATAGGCAATGACTGTGAGGTCAACTACATAGGTCAAACTAGTAGGTCAGGGGTAGTCAGATTGTCAGAACATAAGAATTTAGGTAAGGTAAGAATGGTTGACCCCGAGAAGATAAGTAATTTAGAAAAAAGCTCAGCAATTGCAATGCATGCATTAACACACAACCATACAATAGGATGGGAGAGGATCAAAATTCTAAGAAGCAATCTATGTAGGTGGAGAGAGAGATTGATTACTGAATCCTGGTTCATTAAGTCTACACCCAACACATGCAATAGAAATGATTCATCACTCATACCTGAAATATGGAAAATACTATTACCAATCAAATCAAGTGAAAATAATGGAACTACATAAATGAAGTTAGGAAGTCGTGTGAGCACCTTGATATGATTATGAGCAATAAATTGTGCTCAAAACGTCATCAGTAAACATTACTGTATAACACTGTGGGACTTTATCAAAACAAAATTCACCCATAACGAAGAACTAAGTAGTTTAATTGGAAATCATAGGTCACAAGGAGTGGATGCATCTGAGCCATTGAGAACGATTTTGAGCCATATCACCAATTGTTTCCAATCATTGGTTTTTACCGTCCCGAGGACTCCAATCAGTCAGGAAGTCTACACCTTCCTACGTGGCTGGCTTAAACTAACTGTTGTGGATTTCATTGACTGGTGAATTATTTCATAGTTATAATCATCTGCTAAAAAACTTCTTTGATTTTCTTTGATTCAATTTGAATACATTCAACACAAAAAAATAAATCAATCAACTTACGAAAATATAGTCAGCGGGCCATGAATAGCTGTAGCAATTGGTTCATCTGAACTATTACACTTCAATTTATGTAATTTGTCGAGAATTTCATTTTGTTGAGCTGGATAGAGAATATTCACAACAAATAATTAGTATGGAATAAAAAGGGTTAGTATAGTGATGTATAACAATAATTACATAGGAAATGATTGCTATGCCTTAGTTTTCCTGTTCATTTAAACATAAATCCAAAGAAGGCACTGAAAAATGTGCCTCATAAAATTATTGGACAGTGGTAGAGAAGAAAGAGAAATAAAACAGTTGGAAGATGACAGAAGGAAACTGTCACGCGGTCGCCATTGATTACGATTCTGAGCTGCATCTGATATCTAATCTAATGTACTCCATCTATGGAGTTGTAATATATCAATATACAGCTAACCCAGTCCTGAGCTTTGTGCGTCGGTGGCACAGCGGTTAGGACGCTCGGCGAACATGGACATGGTCAGGGATTCGACCCCCAGCCGACACACACCTTTACCTCGCTAAGCCAGAAACAATGTTGGTAAAGAGGAAAGGTTGGGCATGAGGTTAGCAACCCCATCCTGTAAAATTAAACACTGCTACAGAAACTTCAAGCCACTAGCTTGAAGCCCTATGTTCCACTGAGGAACGTGAAGGAATAAAATAGTCCTGAGCTTTCACCATCTAATCGAACGGCTACCAAACAGTAAATGTTATCGAAGTGGCCAAGTTGATAGTTGTACCACATGTCGAAGCCAATGAAGCCAATATCTCAGGATGGCATCATCAACCGAAATAGAGTCTTCATCCTATTTGAAAATCCAATGCTAGACTGCAGAGTTATATACACGGTAACTCCACTGTATGCAAACAACTCCTACAAATTCGGTACTTGAGTTTCGAAGTCGAATTTCTACAAAGCCAACAATAGTCAAGCACGCGGGTGACAACTGCCCATTCTGGCTCGGAAAGTCAAGTTTCACAAGTGTAAAGCTAGACTGCACGAAGGTAAACATTGCAAATTGAATGTTTGGTAGTCAGACTCATATTATGATGACGCTAGAGGTGACCCAGGTCAGTGAATCTTTCTCTCTCTCTCTCTCTCTAGCTTTCGATATGCGATCGGAAATTTTGTGTGTAACCTAAGGTATATTTAGAGATTAACAACAATTCTGTCTAAATCCACTTGCGGTTGTTTGTTTTCGCTATACTTAATGTGTTTTGTATTAAACTTTCTAAGTGTTAGTAAAATTTTACGGTATACCTCACAAACACAGACGATTCCAGGCAGGAATCGTTTCCCAATCTTATGCCTTAATTGTCTACTGGGTAAGGTTATGGCATTTGAAACGTAGTTCAAGCATCAACAGGGATACATTTAGATCTAGCTGGATGGTCTTTGAATAGGATGAAACGCATGTCCTGAAAGCAACTGTTACTCAGCATAAGAATAACACTTTATGGGTTAAATTTAAAAAACAAGTCTTACTCATAGAATAGTCGTCCATCTTTGGAATATTTAGTGCTTTCTGTTTAGTTAATAAGTCTATCAGAAGTGGAGGGTAAGATATCTTCTGAATTTTCTCCGGTTTTGTGGTTTCTTCACTTGTTACTGTGTCATCAGTTTTATTTGGAAGTTTTTGATCACTGGAAATTGTATTGGAACGCGCATTTCGGCATTCAATTGCAGAAACTTCTCCTTCAGTTGTGCACTGAATGTAGAATTGATACAACAAATCATGATTAGTCATAGACAAGTTGTCGTCAGGTCTTAACCAAGCTATGAACCATACTTATTAAATAAGGCTTGGTAAATAAGAATTTATAACTGGTCATATACATGAAAATAAAGAGAAGCTATCAATAGCACTATTCTGAAAAATAATTCCCAGGTTTGCTTAATAACTACCAAGAAGTATAGCAAGTACTTCCAAACTATAATAATAATAATAATAATAATAATAATAATAATAATAATAATAGCTTTATTTCAAACAGTATTTGTGGTACAGGTATGGAATTTTCAGCATGAATTACAATATATTGCAATAAGGGGGATGGGTAGAATACAAGAATTGACAAACTCAGAAAGCAAAGACTGCTTTATGCCAAAAAGTGCCTAAATTTCCTAATGTAGAACGTTAAGCGAAACATCTTTCTAGTAACTAGCAAGATGTGGGAAGGACTAGGAAAGATCGGTGGAAAAACTCAGCCCAAGATACTTGACATTAGATGTATTTTCAACCTCTATGCCGTCAATGATAGTGGGGCCATGTGAGCCAACTAGTTGTTGTAGGTCACGTTTTCGCCCGAAAGTGAAATTGACTACCTGGAATTTAGACGGATTTGGCTTAAGACCGTTTGAAGAGGACCACCGACTAATTTCTAACAGAAAGTTATTTAATTCGGAACAATCTGACTGAGAGTTGACAGGCATAGAAACAGAGAGGTCATCAGCATACTTAACAAAAGTGGCTACATCAGAATGAGGCAAGTCATGTAAGAAAAAAGAAAACAGAAAAGGAGAAAGAACAACACCTTGAGGAACACCAGCTAAGGTATACAAAGGGGATGTAAACTCCATCACTGACGAATAAAATTATCATTCATCATCACTTTGATCATATATGCAGATGTGGCTAATTAATTTAATCAGATTCAAAACCCACTCTTAGTCAACTTCAACTCAAACAATGAGGTCGTAGTAGCGTTACACCATGAGGATAGACAGAGCAGCCTATAGCCAAGCAGACAACTCTGTTTCACGTGCTTAAACAGTATTTGCCACTTACTAACCATGATTAATGAAATTTACAATTCTCATCATCGTAACAGTAATTATGCATGGTAATGTAGGTGCCAATATGTCAGCTGCACAGGCCGATATTGAATTACCTGAGACCAGACAATACAGGAAGAGAACTCATCATGGGTAGAGATGCACTTTGAGAGATGAATGAAAATGCAGAACTCTTCGCTGACTTCCGTGCCTTCAATGAACCAGTGATTGGTGGCAGCGTTTACAAGCACAAGGGTATCCACAGGACTACATGGGTGTCACCAGACGGGTGAACCAAAAACCAAATTGACTTCATCTCAATGCTGCTCAAGGAAGTGGAGACGCAGCTTACTGGACACAAAAGTTAGAAGAGGAGCAGACGTTGGCTCAGACCACTATCTTGTACAAGGAACAATCCAAATCAAATTAAAAGCTTTCAGGGAAACAGGAGCTGCAGATAGACCACAAGCCAAGTTTAATACTCAAAAACTGAAGTAGGACCAGGATACAAAGGATATCCTCACTGCATTCATAAGGAAAAAGGCGGAGATACAAGTCAACACTAGCGAAGAGGCCTGCATTGAAAAACAATGGAACATCTTGAAAGTGGCGTGGAGTCAAACCTGCATGGAACTTCTATGCAGAAAGAAGAGACAGGAAAAACAGTGGCTCACTGCGGACACGTACACGTAGAGACTAATAGAAGAGAGAAGGATGTTAACACAAAAGATTATCAGGTGCATCGATGAGCAACAAAAACAGTTGAATGCAAACTACAATACAGTGAACAAAAGAGTAAAGAAGAGTGCCGGGGAAGACAAAAGAAAATATTATGAAGTTATGGGAAGAAGAAGCAGAACAAGCTGTAGGCAAAGGAGACCTCACAACACTACCAAAGAACTAGATTCCTACAGGGAAAAAGTTCAACACAAATTAAGGCAGTAAAGGATGACAACAGAAAGCCAATCACCAAAGAGGTGGAGCAAAAGAAACACTGGGCTGAACACTTCGGAAGACTTCTAAATCGACCGCCACCTACAACGCGCCAAACAATATCAACAGCGGAAGAACTACCATTGGAAATCAAACCCACCAACGAAAACAGGAATACTGAAGGCATTAAAGATGCTAAAAACTGGAAAAGCAGCAAGACCAGATGGAATCCCAGCAGAAGCATTGAAAATGGACCCAGAGACAACAGCGGATTTGATGATACCACTACTGGAGAAGGTGTGGAAAGAGGGCAAAGTACCTGAGGATTGGAGGAAAGGATACTTTTTCAAACTACCACAGAAAGGAGACTTAAGTCAATGTAAAAACTAGCGCGGAATTATACTCCTGTTCATCTCAACCAAAATACTGAGTCGAATCATCCTGGAGAGAATCAAACAAGCCCTAGATGAAAAATTTCGACCGGAACAGCCCGGATTCAGGAGAAACAAGTTATGTATTGATCAAATCGCCACACTACGGATCATCACTGAACAGAGCTTGGAACGGCAGTTACCTCTCTACCTCAACTTCATCAACTTTGAAAACGTCTTCAACTACTTCGCTACTACGGGGTGCCGCCAACAATTATATATCTCATCCAAAAGCTGTATGACAATGCTGGATGCCAAGTAATACACAAAATGGAAACTCACGGAATCCTTCGAAGTGAAGACGGCAGTAAGACGAGGTTGTCTGGCTGGCTGGGGACTATCTGCAGTGATTTTGCTGATTGCGGTAGACTGGATAATGCAACAGACAGCGGGCAATGAGCGAACAGGCATAAAATAGACTCACACAAAAAACTTGGAGGATCTGAACTTCGCCGATGATATATGTCTGATTTCCCACAAACTGGAAGATATGCAAGCAAAACGCAACAAGGTGGCAGGAGAAGCATACAGAGAAGACAGGCCTTCAGGTGAACATAGGGACAATAGATGTGATGAGGATTCCTGGCCAACAGCAACAACAGTAATCATCATAAACGGGATGAATCTGGAAGAAGCAATCACCTTCATCAACAGACCTAGGAAGCATCGTTTCAACTACAGGCGGAACTGATGAAGATACCAAAGCAAGGCAAACTTTCACTACTCTCAAGTCTGTGTGGTTAACAGCACTCAGCATGAAAAACAAGATCCGGATTTTTAACCCCAATATGAAGTCAGTGCTACTATACGGATCAGAGACTGGTGCGTCATGAAGGGCACATCGAACAAACTACAGACTTTCGTCAACAGCTGTCTTCGCTCAATATAAAAGATCAGATGGCCAGAAACGATCAGCAACAGGGATCTCTGGGAGCAAACTAACCAGGAACCAACTGTTCAACAAATATGCAAGAAGGAATAGAGATGGATTGGCCATACTGAGAAAACCACCCAGTAACATCACACACCAGGCTCTTGAGTGGAAACCGAGTAGGATTCAGCGTGAGGGTTGTCCAACGGTGACATGGGGGAGGTCATGTGAAGAGGAGATGAAAGCATTTGGGTAGACGTAGAGCAAGATGAAAACGTTGGCCGAGAACCGAACGCAATGGAGACGTGCGACCGAAGTCTTATGTTCCTCTAAGAAATATGGGAAACAATCATCATCAGATACTGGCAGTGGAATCTATGATGTGCAGTGAGTCCTAATAATATATGCGTAAACTTGGACACTGTGGTAGTACGTAATTCCATATTAATTTGTTTAATAGATATATCACACAGTAAAACAGTATTACTTACCGGATGACGTTTCAAACACAATTCATTGTTCATAATCATATTAATTAATCTAATTAACAAATTAATATGGAATCTCATTGAATCCTATTTGGTACTTGTCAGATGGATGTACTTGCATCTCAGAGAGTGATGGTGCCCCCCTTCCACCAGATGGCATTCATACCTTGCACCCATCGTTCCAAACACCAAAGCACTACCCACTACGCCTTTAAGCCACGAGAATCCCCTCTTGTGCAACAAGTTCAAGTCATTATTTGCTTTTAGGTTAGCTTGTACTTCCCTCAGACTGATTATGTTGGACCGAAAAAAATTAGTCTCTGTTGAGCTGTTGGCGTTCATACTGGCCTCACACCCAACCTTCCCTATTTCCAGGTTTTATCACTGGTTAGACAAGGTTTAGGAGTGAGTGTCAGCGGGGAAGTGAGGTCGACCCGCTTGCGTGAATGGCAAGCATTAAGCCATCGAACCATCGACGCACAGTATGATGTCTTAGTTATTCTAATTTCTGTTTCCTTTATAATAATTGCATCTAATACATTAATACTAAGAAATATATTTTTAGTGTTATCATTATGAAAATAGATAGATGTATTTTACCTATAAGTATTATTTGTTTTAGTGAAGTTTGACTTTCTTCTTTTTTTGCATCATTCAATTTCGAATGAAAAATATAGAATGCACTTCTGAAAATGAGCACAACAAACAAGTTTAGGCACTGTAATTATTACCATTTTCATTACTCCTTTGAGTTCCTGAGTAGAACACAGGGCTTTAACAGCACATCTCCACTTCATTTTATTCTCTACAGTCCTCTTTAGATGGCTCCACAACTACCGTTGGCTCTCATTTCCTCCTCCAAATCACTATAAGACCCACATCCAACTCGATGCATCTCATTCAGGCTCCATTCGAGAACCTGGAGCGTAATGTCACTCAGAGTATGTTCAGTCCATCTCCGCTTCACTTTGTATACATGTTGAGCTGCAGACTGTTGGTTGGTTCGTCTCCGGAGTTCCTAGTTGATTATCCTCTCCGGGGAGCCGTATGGTCTTCAGTGTCGAGCAAGAGAGGCTGTTGATGAGTTCGAAAAATATTGTATTTTTATTGAATCGCCAAGTCTCTTAACCACATAGAAGTACAAATTCGACATTAGTGATGCAGATCTGGGTGTTGTTCTATGTGCTGAGTGAAGCAGATTTCCATAGTGATTCCAGAGTACTGACGGTTTGTCTCGTTTTTCCGCTCTTGAATTCGATATCCACATCTGTGCCGCTGTAGTTATTTGCATACATTACACAGAGACACATTATTTAGCGAATGACACTGTTTAGTGTACCACTGAGAAAAATCTGAATACACTATCTAAAATAATGCGACTTTAATCATCAAAATCACTTTGAAATTTTTAAAGAAAGAGCAAAACCCAAATATAAGAATCTTACATTTAAACACACAATTTTCGGTCCAATATATTCCACATTATTTTCATTACTTGTAATATTTGCGTATTTTCGCTTCAGTTTTGCAGCAGACTCTGCAGCGGCTTTTTTAGCTTGAAGGAGAATTTCACTCGATAGATTATCAGCTGTTTGACGATAGTGTAACCTGTCCGAGCTTTCGTCGCAACTATCATCATTGTAAACACTATCATCATCATCATTCACACTGTTCGCTCTATCCGAATAAACACATGAGTCTTTGTATTTATAGTGATTGTCAACCTTAAAATGAGATAAGTGTTTATTTGACTGATTGTCCCGATGCATGAATCTCTGTTTTTTAGAAATTAATGAAGCTTTACCATTAAAAGTTTTACAAGAAGATCCAGATAGTGGAGAAGATGATGCAGTCGATGGAGCTTTACTCATTAAAGCAAAATTTTCAGTATTTGAATCACAATCTGGTTCAGCCTTTATTATAGAGTCAGCAATGCAGTTGTCATATTCTGATTGTGTGTTTTCTGATTTAATTATCATAGAATTCTCGGAATGAGACTGATCACGGGATATAGCAGACACACTATCAGGATGCACTTTAATATCTAATGTAGAAGTTTGAGATAAGATTGAAGAATCTTGAAGCTCTGAGGAAACATTTAAGTTTGCACTACATACAGGAGGTTGTAAGTCGTCCAACCTTATTTTTCTTGGTCTACCACGACCACGTTTCTGTGGGGTAATTACTACAGGAGACTGAACAGGGAACGATCGACTGGTGCCACTTTTAGGCGTTGACTGAATTTCTTTCGGAGGAGCACTACAATACGCTTGAAGAGTAAATAGAGTGGAATTACAGGTAAAACAAAAATCAATAAGAATTTTTTAAAACAGAACATGATTATTTCCTAAGAGACACAGTGAACATCCTAAACTATATTTAAATATTTAGATTATGAGTTTTCATAGAGAAAGGGGACTGATTTCAATGTAGATTTCACCACCAATCAACATCAGGGAGAACTGGACAGCTATTTCATCCTAGTTTGGGACATTGAATTCCTGCACAAATGCCCGAATGGTCAACAACCTTGGCTTTGTAACTTGAAGGCCTTGGGTTCGATCTTTGATAGAGTCGTGGCTGTGCACTGATGCAGGTCTCCTAAATAGTGCTCTCTGCTTTCCAATGACATCTAACTGGTATTAGCTCATGACGAAATCTACACATAAAACAACCCAATACAAATAAAATGCACAAAGTAATTAAATTTCCGAGAGGCATGGTGTTAATATGCTGAGTAAATCACATGTTTATCGCCTTCCACTTAATTTAACAGTTGCACATATCACAACATGTATTAGTACGGTAGATAACAAATGGAACTGAGTAGTCAAATAATCGCTAGTCACATTGTAGCCGACTGTTACAAAAATTTAAAACTAAAATAGTTAAAAAATGAATGAATAGATAGGAAAATCGACGTAGAGACTTGAAACCCTAAACATAATAACTGTATCAGTTCAAACGATATAAAATTGCAACGATACGAAATGGGCAAAGAACAAAGGGAAATAGAAATGATATGAATAACACCTGTTACAGCTATCTTAATCAAAGAAAATTTATAAATCCGTCATGTGGCTCCTTTAGACAGAATCTGGAATCCAGCTTCAACATTACATACTATGATATTCTGCCGTACACCGCCAATGCTGCAAAATAACTATGATCTGTCATGTGTTGGAGTTATAAAGCAGGACAGAGTGGACTATTGTACAGTACATTTGGTATGTGGTCAAACTTCTCTAGAGCACCAGGAGTAATCCGAGTTTAAAAACATCACTATGCAGCATTCTGAATGAGTGCGACGATCTTATCAACAGTTATCCTATTACGTGTTGGTATGGAGTGACCGAGTATAAATATGACTAACGCGATACAACGAACCATGACAGAACGACTGGTATCGCTTAGTAGTTAAATTCCTTCAACCGAAAAGTAAATTTACAAGACTCAAACGTTGACAAAGTAAATGTATATTATTCCAACAAGGGAAATTAACTGTCACACAAGGGTGAATGGAAATGTGTCAATTAATTGTGCAGTACAAGACTATAAAGGAAGTGATTAATAAGGATGAACCAAAAAGGTAGATAAGTAATTTTTTTGAATACCAACTGGATTCTGATTGGCTGCGATGTCATGTGACAAAGCCATGCATTGTTATTTGGTTATTAGACAAACAAGATAGGCTGTGAGTCAAAACTTACTAACAATCAATAGACATATAGTAAAACATGTCATATATGCAAACAAAGCAGATATCATGTGACTACATGTCAAGGATGGATGAAACAGTTTTCAAAATAAGTAGTCATAGTCACCTTGTTGTGAGAACTGGCTGCTAGCCAAATTGGTAGACAGTAATTTACGTAAATGTTTACGTCCTCAATATTGGTCGTGAGAAAATATGAACAAAAACTGATTCAACAACCAACCACAGCAGACTTTTCGTAGGCGGATACAGTTAACCTAAAGATGATCTGACATTCAAGAAACAGCCACAAAGAGATGAAAGATTAAATTTCAGTGAGAAACAACCACCAATTAGAAGACTGTGTTTGTGTGCTTAAATAACTATAATAATGTACATGAAAATCTATAAATATGTGTTGATTTCCTTAATAAACGATCTTTTGCCTGGCCCTTGTCTTCTGTTGTTACAACCTCACTGAGCTACTTAGCTTTTAATCCTTAAATTCGCAGTTGGTACAGGGGTGTTATGCATTATCGTTTTACGTTTCGGGCTTTTTCCTAACAGAATTCATAGGACCCAACATTTTTTCAACATACTTATTTAACAGAATCATCTCGTTTGTGAATAACGAAGTAACCAGAAATTGTGAATTTATCACCAGTGTTAGATGTGAGTAAGCCTACTATCACTAACAGGTGATCGGATAAGGATTATAAGTCGAATCGCAGTCCAATCCACGTTGAACATCGACTCCGCGACAGCCTCGAAGTTCCACAAGAAGCTCCAGCTGTCTCCTTCCCGAAGAGTGGCCGGCCATTGGAACTTGTAACGGTAGAATACAAGAGTCTTGGTGAAATGTTTATTTGGAATTTGCTACCTCTATATAGCTAAATTATGTACGCCTTATCTTCAAATAATCATTTGCACAGACCTCCCGTGTTGTGCTACTTCTGTCCTTCGTACTGTGTTTCCTTGTCTTCCTTTCCAAGTCCGCCATGTTTTTCCGCGACGCTGAATCATTTGCTTTCTCTGACATCAAATCTATCTGCCTTCGATTAGATGTTCTTATACCGATGAAATCCTCTTTATATACTACTGACAAATTCAATCAGTAGTACACGACACACTTGTTCCTCCATCACAGCTTCGAACCGGGCTGCTCCGACTTTCTTGGTTCAACCCGCTCCCGTAGTACCTTGTTCCCGGCTTTCTTAGCCCATTGTACCCATTTTTGGAGTTGGCTGACGTAAACCCGTTTCTGTTTATTTCCTCTTTTGATGGTTTAAATGGGATCACGTCTCTCGACGACAATTTACGGCCCTTCTCACTCCAAATGGAGTTTCCCGTGAGCCTGGCCTGCATCTAACCGTGTACTTTCTTTCTCTACAGTCTACTTCATCGTCAGCCTTTCATCTTTTCCCTCCGTTCTGACCTCTCGGCGTCGTCCTTCTGTTTATTCTTTACATTCCTGACGGCTTCTTTCCGTTTTGTTCGCAGCCTTGTCGTATTCCACTCTTTGTGGAGAGACTGGGTTGTGTTGTATGCGGGTAGTCGTGGCTTACCTCCATACATCAACTGAATTGGTGACTTCTTTGTTGATTCTTGGGTGGAAGCACTATGTGCCAGCAGAATCAATAGAAGCTCTGTCTCGCAGTTACCTCCTTTCGAGGTCAGCCACTCCTTCAGTGTACGGTTATTTCTCTCCGTCAGACTATTCGTTTGTGGATAATATGGTGTTGTTAGAATCTTCTTGATACCCAGTTGTTGGAAACGGGAAGTGAATTATTCACTTTCAAAACAGGGACCCTGATTTGTCAGTATCGTCTCTGGTATCCCGTGATCTGCAACGATGTGTCGAACTACTGCGTCAGCCACAGGTCTCGCGAGTTGATCAGGGATCGCGACGGCGTCTACCCATCGTGTAGCGTGTTCCATCACCACCAGAAGGTACTGATTGCCACTGGATGTCTCCGAAAACGGACTCATCACGTCTACGGACCACAAGTCACCTACGTAGAAATTTTAGTTTAGAAGTGGTGGTGGAAAGCACATACGCAGCATATGCATCAGGGGACTATTCGCTAACTGCCGGTTCACCCTGTGATGTTGACTGCCTTTTCACTCATCTAAGCGTTTCACTTTCAATTAGGTTATATCATATTATTATATTATGAGCGTTGAGCTTCAATATCTAATGTATATATATATATATATAACAGTTTGAGATACCAACGGACATGAAAATATAGATTAACTGTTTGATTTGTCATAGAAAACATTTACATATTAACAAACAGACTGACTGACTAAGTTTCAATACAGAACTTTGCACGGAAATGTAGCAGTTTTCATGTATACACGCAACAGAGTAATAATGGTATTAATTTCGCTAAAACACAGATACGTTCGCGTGTGCACGTTGAATTTCCATCAATACCGCTATTTACATAGATTTTCTCAAATTAAAATGCATTAGAAAGTATGTCTGTCTTCCTGTTTTCAACACACGCAGTTGCACCGATGTGAGGCAGTTCAAGTCGCCACACTCCCTCCTTGTATCACACAAAGCAAGAGAAGAAAGTAGAAGAAATGCAAAATAGAGACAGCATACAGGGATATGAAACAAAAGGAATAGTAATGACAAAGAACAATATAGTTTCACTGGGAATTATGAAGTATCTATATTAGTTATAGTGTATGGTGAGATGCAAAAAGCTTGAATAAACCGATCTGCAGGATCTCATTTTTATTCCCTGTGTGCTGTAGTAAAAAACGAGTTAAAACTATCTCTAAGTTATGTAAGGAAAAAGTTTCAGTAGGCGAAGTAATAGAGACGAGAATTCATGATTACGTTTCTTAACTTAAATCTCGACAGAAATTTCGTTTCAGTCATCGTAAATAAAACTAATATTCTAGGCTGAAGATGTAGTGACACTGTATCTTTTAAAAGTATCTCTGAAAAGCATAATAATTGGTCGTTATACATTGATCTGCTTGACTGAACTACAACATAGAACACTACACAGAAGTACAGCGGTTAAACCTGCCACACTTCATATAGCACACACAGTTAGAGAAAGGGGAGAAAAAAGAAATGCAAAGCGATTATAATGAGCAGAAACGTACAAGAGAAAGAATAGTAACACGGAAAATTATGAGAAGAGACGTTACCACTGAGCTATTCGGGCTCGTGATTGACCTCCTGTAGGACTGTAGTGGGTACTTGGATTGGACACTAGTAACTAGTGTGACGTGTCTAGTCCTCTCTTTGGTGCAGACTGAATTCTATCAGTCAGGTTGTAATGTGGCCACCATTCTGGGTAGCTCGCCATCACGGTACATATTGATTTGATGGTGTTAAATAGTTGGAGCCAATCGGTAGGAAGCCTTGGATCTAGGTTTCGTGCTAGTTGGCACTCTGAACCAGCCTTAACTCTTATCTTAAGTCAGCTGACATTGCTCGACGAGGGAGGTAGTGGCTCAGGATGCATAAAACGTGTCCTAGTTATCTCAGTTGATGTAGCTCCACAATCGTGTTGATAGACTTCCTTTCTTCACCTAACACTCTATGCCTAATCTGAATGTTATCCACCATATTGCACCACTGAACACAGAAAATAGAATCCAAACTTCTGTAGTCAAAGACAGCTAACATTTCCATAACTTCCATTTCCAATAGCTAGGTCTTACAGCCGAAAAGGGGGACGGGACGAAGTGCTGTGCGCAGTACACACGACCTTCGATCGATAACTAACTATTACACATGCAATAGTCCTTTGTATCAGTGCTGAGACTTTTTCGGTAATCCGTCCACTACAGCTAATGCAACTTCCCAAGTAAATGAAGTAGTCAGCATACTCAACCACTTAACTCTCTATGTTTAAATCGGGAGTCAGTGCACACCAGTTATGTAGCAACAACCTACATCTGACAGCAGTGAATCGCATGCCGAACATTTCAAAATTTCTGCTCAAGGTGTTTAGCAAGAAAACAAACAGTATCTTCACTGAACACAAAAGACAGTAACACATAAAGAAGGAAAAGATAGAAAAAAAATAAAGAAGTATGATATTGCTATCACGATAACAATAAAGTGTAAATACACGCCTACGCCACTTCAACGTATTCTTAGTCATATTGCCCATGATGTTTGGCCATGAGATTTGTTTGTCTTATGGATATTACCTAAGCCAATTACATTTTCTTACATTCAATTCAGATCAATAATAAATGACATTCTGCGTTGATATCACGTAATCAGATGTGACAACTCTTTGCTTCCTTTCTAATCCAATTATAACTGATCATCAATATAAACAGTAAGAGAAAAATATGATTATCGTTATAACACAAGTAAAGGGGTTGAATAAATGAAAAAGGATTTATAAATAAACAAAAAAGCCTTACTTGATGACATGTCCAATTGTGAAGAAGAAGAAGAAGAAACGCGACTTTCTATACTATGTTTACTCTGTACAGGAGAAAAAGTAAAAATTAAAAAAACTGTAAGTAACTAACACAAAAATTCCTCATTACTACGACTATTATTTTTAATATTATTATTATTACTTTTCTCACTTTGAATTGAACTATATTGTTCTTCCATAGTACTAATCTTTTTGCCTCATACCTCTGTTTTGAATGTCTTTTTATTCTCTTCTCTTGCTTTGTGTGCTACATGGAATGTGGGAGCTCGAGCTGCTACACATCAGTGCAAAGTCCTACGTTGAAAATAGTCAGTCATTAACAAACATACTTTTTTGAAATTGTATGTGATACAAAATGATACCGATTATGTAAAGATGAGTTATTAAAACAGTAGAATGATTTATCCGTCTTCTAACTCTATGAGTTACTAATGAATACTTTTTACTGGCACTTTGAAAGATTTTGTTGCAGACACGTTTTCTCTAGTGAAGTAAGCATACATTTTCAAAGATTATAAATTTTCAGTCGAGTCGATATAGAGTAATATTAGACTATGCGTCTTTTTATTCTTTTGTGTGCTGATTGGAACATATGACCTCAAGCGTCAGCTGTGGAGTTTCAGTAGCAGTGATGGTGTTTTGTTTGGGTAGCGTGTCTACTTTCACGCCCAGCCTTTCATCTTCACCGGGTTTACTACCCATTAGGCGAGGCTTAGGAGTACATCGACGGAGAGTTTAACTACGGACCATGTGAGTGGTTGGCGAGTACTCTATCACTGAATCACCAACGCACGCCTGTTGATTTGTGCGTCGGTGGTGTAACAGTTAGGACGCTCGCCGATCATGCACATGATCCAGGTTCGACTCCCGGTCGACGCACTCCTTTACCTCGCTAAGCCAGAAGCAATGTTGGTAAAGAGGAAAGGTTGGGCATGAGGTTAGCAACCCCATCCTGTAAAATTAAACACTGCTACAGAAATTTCAAGCCACTAGCTTGAAGCCCTATGTTCCACTGAGGAACGTGAAGGAAGAAACAACAAAAACATGCCTGTTGATTTAAGTATTCTATCTATGTTGAAATACGCTATTGCATATACTCGAGACATCATTTATGAGTATTTTTAAAATAGCATTACTTCGCCAAATTATAACTAACAAAAATAACTCACTTTTACATCATCACGAAACGCATGTTGCTCTGATGAGATATGTGAAAGATTTTTGAGTGGTTTCCTATTTAAATGAATCTGGTATCTAGACGTGGTAGACAGATGAGACCTTGGACGACCTCTCTTTCTATGGACAGGATATACAATAGATGACTGAGAACTAACAACGACGTTACGATTAGAATCACTACGATATTTTGGTGAAAGGCCGAATTTCGAATCACTTCCTGTTGTTCTGAACTCACTTTCCGCATTACTGTGTATTTTCGAAGATCTGATAAAGGCTTTCATACGAATCATATGACTCATTTGATTTTCTACACTCATCAAATCACCAATTTCCTCTGCAGTTAATCCTCCTGGTAAATCCTTACCGGCTTTTTGTAGAGACGATAAACTCATTTGTTTGCGACAGAATGATAAAAGCTAATAAGTGAACAAAAAAGATTATGAAATTTGAGGTAAGACAACAGCATAACATAATGTCTACAACTAAGGTGATAAAAAATATTGGACACTACTATCATGTAAAAGGTGAGTAATAGCAAGCGTAACTGATGAGACAAGAGTCAGGTAATATGGATTGATTACAAACACATGTGTAACAAAAATACACTACAATTAATATTGTATGCAGCTTTTGTAGATATTTGCATGGCTTATGCATTCCAAATAACCATGTGTCCAAAATCTCTAGGTTTTCTTACCTTTGCAGTTTTAGTGCAAGTTTACAATGATCATTAATTAATTTACCAATACTGAAGTTGGACAGTGTTATGTGAAGAAGTAGAATCTATCAGCCAATGTTGTTAAAACTAATGAGGACAGTTAAAGGATATACAACCTATTAAACTAAACATTTAATGATATAAAATAATAATATCAGCTTTACTTTGGGAATTATGTTTAAATACAATATAGAACTCTCAGTGAAATTTCTCGCAAAATATATACTCGCCGTAACGAATTTTCAAGTTAAACAGTCATAGAAACTATATCGTATGACGTAATACCATTCTGTCTGAAAGAACACTTAATCCTCTACGACAATTTTCCGTTATTTCCTTCTTGAAGTGCACAGCAGTAGGTTGGTAGCCAAATAAGAATTTGCGTGAGTTCATCTTGTGGTCGAGGAAAAATATAATTAGAAGATTAAGACAACAAGAAATGCAGAAAAGTAGGAGCATTATGTTGGATGGAAATTTAGGTGGCTCAATGGTTTAAGAAGGAGATGCTTTAGGTTATTAGTTATCATGATGAGGAAAATAATGAAACCTAGATTTCATGACTGAAGATGAAGAAACAGTGAGAAGTGTCCATAATCTCCGAATCGTATTCAAGATTTCCATAGAAAGAAAATCTGGATGATTTGGTCAACTGAGTAAACTTCAGGCAATTCTGTCGCAATAATTCTACTGTTGCACACTTCACTCCCTTATTCCATATTCAATAATTGACTATAAACAATAGACTTAACAATTCTTAAGCATAAATAACCATCTTCCTATCCTATACAGAGCAAACATCAGATACCATCAACACAAAAATATCTAACACCCTGAAAGGAACATTCTCTGCTGCTACATTACAATTGGTATTCTCAAGCTGCTCTTTGTTCTTCAACAACTCCACAGATAAAGTATCACATTTGACCACTTCTATGCGTATCTACCAATTTAATTCCTCATATGGAGCGATATGTATGGGTCGTTCGATGTATGTTCTATCCAGAAGAGTCACAGATCATTATCCCACTTGATTACGAAAAGGTAACAGTGGATCGATCAGGTGTGCTATATTCAACACCGGTCACTCAATATGTAAGGAAAATTCATTCAAAGTCAAGTTAAAAGAGGGCTCCTGAAAAGTTTCCGTATACTTTGCATTGCTGAGGTCTAAGCGATCTGGATAGAAAACCCAGATTTATGTACACAAAAGAAAATTATTCACCCCCTCCATCTACCTTGGGTATAATTCCAAGTTCTAATGTTTTGTTAATAATTCCTTCTTTTTTGGGATGTTTGTATGATTTTTTAGTAACACCTTTTTCTTAACCAAGCCTTTATTCACTCTTTCTACCTATTACATAATTTATTTTGGATATATCCCATGCTGTTTCATCAACAACCTATTTTTCTAGGTATCTTTCATGTTGCATAACTTTTGTCAATAATTACCGATCTTCATCCACTCTAGTTACAATTTGATTGTTCATCACATTTTTGAAACATTTTGATGACGTAAACAAAAACCCTAAGTAATTTTTATTTTTGTTTGATAATCCTAATGCACACACACACACACAAAATAATTGTAACTAAATGCGATTGTACAGTTTAATGGATGAATTCACCGAAAAGAGACTTCGGTGAACTTTTTATTCTTACAAAAATATTACCCCATGGAATTAGTGAATGGCATCCTCAGAAAGGACAGCTGACAATTTGAGAAACACGATAGTAGATTATAACTTGTCACTCTTTACATCTTTAGAAAATTTGTAGGAATTTATATCTAACGGATTAAATACGATTTCGAACTTTCAAACTTACTTTCGCTTCGTTTGGTTATTAGATGTATCACTGTGTGATACATCTAATAAACAAACTAATATGGAATTATTTTCGCTTCCCTGATTTCAATAATGAATCCAAAATGTCTTCGTATCAACAATTTAAATCAGTGGGTTACATCGAAGTTGTGCAAATAAATCTTGCAAGTCTACTGTGTGTTTCTAGTTTTTAGATTTGTCTGTTTGATTAATATTCACTTTATGACACCTTTATGAGACTTTTTAGATAATTAATAAACAGATGAACTATAATGCCCATAATATGTTAGTCGTACGACCAAAATATTTCATTAACCTAATAATATAACCCATTTGTTAGATAGCTTATGTTTACAGATATTCCTGCACAGCATGTTGGCGTGAAAGGATAATATGTTGGCAAAGCCGATTTGGAACACTTTGGACAAAACAATGCGCTAGTTGGCATAGTATTTCTATAAACATTACACAACAACGCTACGTGTCAGGTGAACCACAACGGGAAACTCAGCGAAGCTTTCGAAGCGAAAACAGCAGTAAAACAAGGTTGCCTATTACTATCGACTATATTCCTACTTGTGGTGGACTAGATAATACTTCAGACTGTGGGGAGTGAGAAGACACGAATACGTTGTACCGATAAGAAGACTCTACAAGATTTGGATTTCGCGTATGGATGATTTATGTTTAATGTCACAAACTCGAAGACTTACAGGCGAAAAACTGACAAACTGACTGAAGCTGCCAGCGAAGACAAGACTCCAGGTCAACATACAGAAGACGGAGGTGATGAAGGTAACCAGCCAACAGCGACAGTAACAAGCACCATCAACAGGAGAAATTGCCAGAGGTTACTTCCTTCACTTATCTCAGAAACACTGTTTCAACCACAGGTGAAACGGATGAAGATGTAAAGACCAGAATCGGAAAGGCAATCTGAAATCGGCTTGGGTATCTTCTGAACTAACTCAGCATAAACAACAAGATTCGGATTTTCAACACAAATGTCAAGTCAGTCAGTCACTTCTATACATTTCAGAAACTTGTACTGTGCGTCACGAAATGCATTTCCAAGAGGTTATTGCAGACTTTCATCAGCAGCTCCCTTCGCTGGGTCCATATTGAAGATAAAATGGCCAGAAAGAATCAACAATAAGAAACTATGGGAACGAACTGACCAAGAACTTGACGTTCAACAGGTGAAAATGGGGATGGATAGAGTTAACATGGAGGAGACCATCGAATGACATCGCGCACCAGGTCAGCTCTCGAGGGTAAGCGACGAGTGGGTCGTCCTAGGGTGACATGGGCGAGGTCATGCGAAGAGGAAATGAGACATTATAGGCAATCGTGAGCCCAGTTGAAGTCCCATGTTCCACTGAGAACCCAAGGGAATAATAATCAGTTTTTCATGTAGTAGGCTAAATCATGCATAATTAATGCTCCTGGAGTTATGGTAAGTTGCTTGTCGACGCTAATGTGTGCAGCAGAAGGGCTTCAATGCCACACCTATTTGTTAAAAATCAAATAAACCTAATTGCCATGATATATCTAGGGTACATCAGTACGCATAATACATATGAACCAGAAGCGACATTAGAAAAAAATGGAGACATTAGCATGCCTTAGCACTCTGGCACGCTACACATGAAGTTTAACGTATAACGTACGCCTACCATTGAAACGGGATCAATTAAACAAAGTGTTTGATAAATGCCGGAACACTGCACAAAACGTTTATGATGTTGAATTCAAACGAGCTCCCGTTAAATAGCATGTTACATAACCTCTTATCTTCAGTTTCTAAATCAATAATACACAAGGAAGAACAGAAATATAAATAGTTAAAACTATCAGACACCTACTTTTCGCGCACGCTGAAAATAAATAGTATCTGGAGGATTGTAGACCATTGCATTATCACACATTAATGTAACATCAGCAAGATATTCTGCAGCAGAACGATAGTATGCCCGAGAGCGAAGTCTGCTGCATATCGTTCCAAGATCCATAGGTTTTGAGATCACCTACAGTATAAAGAGATAAATTGTTTGTCAGTGCAAAATCTCTTGAAAGAAATACATACATAGCAAATTATCAGTAAATACAGAATGAATGACTCAATGGGGATTTTCAAGCTACTCAAATACAGAATGAAAAAGACACAAGTACTAGATGATTATATAAAAAGTCTGGAAAGGATTTCGGTCCAAGGAACAAAACTGTCTTATTTCTGATCTCATTTGTTTTGCAAAATCAGACATCAAAAATGTGAATGAGAATTCACAAAATTCACAAGGATTAATTAGTTAGACCTCAATTATCTAGTACTGGATTATAAGCCACACTTATTTGAGTGGGACCTAATGACGCTACCCGGTTACCCAGGCTGAAGTAGGCGGAGTGGGACTCGTACCCATGACCTGTTGACTGAAAGTTTAATGCTTAAGCTAATGTGCCACATCTCCATTTACAGTGACTGATTGCACACCATTTTGGACTAAAATTCTGTGTCCCTCGTATGTACTTTGTAGACTAATCTCCTCATCTAGAGTTTGAAAACTTATGTATGCAACTTCAACCTCTTGTTCCGACTTCAAATGATAAATGAAGTTGGTGCATATGACTTCCCATCTATCTAAAGATCATCCCAAGAAAAAATAGCATTTCAACTACCCGGCGTTCCAGGGCCTTGAAAGAATTACTAAAAAATCTTGATAAAACCATTTTGAAACCTGAGAAAGACTTAGGAGTGGTCATTATAACTAAAAGTGATTCTAATTGCAAAATATTACTCTTTTTTAACGATAAAAACAAATTTACTCGAGATGATTCTTCAGTACATGAAGTATTACAGGGAATCGTGTTTAGTGTGACTGCTTGGCCTACATTTTACCAACAAAAGTGAATCTGACTCATTAGAACCAACAGAATGCGAATATCCACATTTGTATGGTTTGCCGAAAATACACAAAACCAATCGTCCTGTACATCCTATAATGTCGATATGTAGATCAACCACACAAAACTGCTCAATGACTAGTGAAATTACTGGACCCCACCAAAAGACATTTCTGTAAGACACCTTTAACTCACTTGATGATATAAACATTGGAAATAGAAATATCTATCCTTTTAGTGTAACTCTGTGTTCATCAATACTCCCTTAATCAAAACAACTGACACTTTGTGTTATTACCCGTCTATGCGTAATTTATTAGTAATTCCAGTTCTACCACTGTACAATCACTATCAAAAGTAGCTGTCTATCATTACATCTTTTAATTCAATTTCATTTCATTCCATCCACCAAATCATTCTTTGTCATATAATTAAGTGCTGCTTTTTCAGCTATTGCATGATAATGCCCGTGGATTTATAAATGATTTATAAATGTACAACGTTTTCTTTCTTTCTTTTCCTTTTCTCTCTTTTTTTCTGTTATGTGTTGCTTTGTTTCTTTCTTCCTTACTAACTCTATTAAAACATTCTTCGTTCTCTCACACTCTGTATATCTCGACCTTTTGTTACCGCTTACGCCAGTAAACATGCTAGCATCTGTCTGTCTGTTTTCGACATAGAACTCTGCACAAATGTGCGGCAGTTCAAGTCGTCACAGACAGACAGACAGACAGATGCTAGCATGTTTACTGGCGTAAGCGGTAACAAAAGGTCGAGATCTAGCATCTACTTTTTTAACACCTTCAAACACTCTGTTCAATTTTGGCTTTGCTACTGTCATGCCAATATGTTGTTGTCAAAATGAACTGAGATTACCTTAATCTATGTAGAATTTTATTTATTGTTAATATACTAACTGGATGCAATACTGTAGTAAAATGCTGAGAGTTACATTCTGTATCACAAGTACTGTTTTGGAATAAAGTAAATTATTATTATTATTAAAAATGTAGAGGATGAGGAAAAAACTACTGGAAATAATCGTTCGCTGGAAATCTTCCAACTTTACTTAAAACGTTTATTATTTATATAGGTCGATAGTGTAAGTTTTATATTTGAAGGTGAATATTTTCATCAGATTGATAAATTTGCTATGGAAAGTCTCTAAGAGCCCCTTTTAACGGATATCTGTATGTAGTACATATAAATGCTACCTAGAGATTTTGTTGAAAATGTCTCACTTTATAGAATATATATGTAGATGATACTTTAATCATACGGAATTACCTCATTTGCACCGATTTAGCTTTAGATTGAATAAATGAAGTGCAACACAGCATATCAATTACATGTGTAAAAGAGGAAGATAATTGTTTAACTTTTCTAGAGACTGATTAATTGATGGCCAGACTGATCAATAAAGCGACCTATTTACGGATAGTCTACATGAGAAAGACAATATTTTAATTCCTGCAGTTTCTATCAAGCTCAGTACAAAAGAACACTGGTGAAGTAACAATTTCATAACATTCAGAAAATACGCACAATTGGAATGTGAGAAAAAAATAACAACGGAGACTCTTTAAGAACTACTCAGTAGAACTCATAAGTAGATATAAATTATGATTATTGATGCATAAATTAGTCAAAACATCAAGACCTACTCTTTACATTATCTCGAAAAAGATGCACCTAAGTTACATGAGTAACGAAAACAGCTTCATATTCAGGTATGGAGTGAACGCTACAATCAAAAGGACATTTTAAACATCCAAAAGCACGATCATCCAGAACTCAAAGCCCATATACCCCTCTCAGCACTTAGAAAAAAAACTGAAAAATGACGTTACATACAGTTGTATTTACCAATTTAGATGTACGTGTGGTCACACATATATAGAGAAGACTCATCATTCCTTGCAAGTGAGTGCTACAAATCACATTCCTCAAGAATTGAAAACATTTATTTCCCGATACGAATTTAAAACAAGCAATAAAGCAGGATTTAATGAATTCATCAAATTTCGGTAGAACTCGTCAGCTGAATACTCTACATACACGAATACATATACTTTTGAAATTACATTGGGAGATATAAGACTGATACGAATTTAAAACAAGCAATAAAGCAGGATTTAATGAATTCATCAAATTTCGGTAGAACTCGTCAGCTGAATACTCTACATACACGAATACATATACTTTTGAAATTACATTGGGAGATATAAGACTGATAAGTTGAATACTCTACATACACGAATATATATACTTTTGAAATTACATAGGGAGACATAAGGCTGATAAGTAAACAAACTACATTGAATTAATCATGCAGAGAGACAGGTGCGAATATTTTCCAGGTCATGTTCAAATAGATAAGGGGAGAGAGAGAGTATGAGAGATCAAAATTAAGATAAATTGCATTACGCTTCAATTACATCACTTAGATAAACAATTAGTCATTAGGGAAGCTTGTTTAAAGATCGCCAGTGTTCTTTGGTGATATGCGACTTTTGATTGGTCGGCATGACTCGAAATTGATGAGCGATATCAACCATCTTTGCTTTCAACCAGCTTTCGCTGTCACTGGACGTGGCATGTAGCCCCATAAGTTGATCATAAAGATTTTCGAATTGGCATTCGATATCGATTTGCTTTATCTTCTTCATGGGAACACAGAATTTGAATCCCAATGACAGAATTTCTGCTTGTTCTTTTGATAGGGAAACATCAGATAAATTATGAACATAATTAGATATATCCACTGGGAAAATTTCACTTGGCGGTTCCGGATAAAGTGACTTCTTCAGTTTCTTTACTTCTGATTCTTTTGTCTTTTTTGATGTGGCATGCAGATATTTAGTGAATTTAATATAACATACGAAGTTTAAGTCATTTTGCACATTGATCAGTTTGCTTGACAATAGGCATAAATTACTGATTTCATCTGTTTCAGAAGACAAATGTGATTCAGCAAGACGGTAAAGATTCGCTCGTGTAGGTCTCAGATGATCTTTACGCAAGGATTTGTAAAATGTTCGAGGATAAATATTATTCTGGATACATTCTTTCAAAAAATCTCGTCGTGCAGAGTGTTTAGCAATCCTGCACTTCAATTTCACTAGATCATTTAGTGCATTGATAGTGCTTTTTGGGAGACGCTTCTTCAAGAATTGAAAACATTTATTTCCCGATACGAATTTAAAACAAGCAATAAATGCACTAAATGATCTAGTGAAATTGAAGTGCAGGATTGCTAAACACTCTGCACGACGAGATTTTTTGAAAGAATGTATCCAGAATAATATTTATCCTCGAACATTTTACAAATCCTTGCGTAAAGATCATCTGAGACCTACACGAGCGAATCTTTACCGTCTTGCTGAATCACATTTGTCTTCTGAAACAGATGAAATCAGTAATTTATGCCTATTGTCAAGCAAACTGATCAATGTGCAAAATGACTTAAACTTCGTATGTTATATTAAATTCACTAAATATCTGCATGCCACATCAAAAAAGACAAAAGAATCAGAAGTAAAGAAACTGAAGAAGTCACTTTATCCGGAACCGCCAAATGAAATTTTCCCAGTGGATATATCTAATTATGTTCATAATTTATCTGATGTTTCCCTATCAAAAGAACAAGCAGAAATTCTGTCATTGGGATTCAAATTCTGTGTTCCCATGAAGAAGATAAAGCAAATCGATATCGAATGCCAATTCGAAAATCTTTATGATCAACTTATGGGGCTACATGCCACGTCCAGTGACAGCGAAAGCTGGTTGAAAGCAAAGATGGTTGATATCGCTCATCAATTTCGAGTCATGCCGACCAATCAAAAGTCGCATATCACCAAAGAACACTGGCGATCTTTAAACAAGCTTCGAAAAGACAAAAATCTTGTTATCCTACAAGCTGATAAAGGACAAAGTGTAGTGCTAATGAACAAGATAGATTATCTCGAAAAAATGCATCAAATTCTCGCCGATGAATCTAAATTCAAATTGGATAACCATGCAAAAGACCAAACGTTATCAACCGAAAGGAAAATTGTGCAGCATCTACGACAACTCTTCAAAAATAAATACATAGACGAAAACACATATAGAAATATCAAACCGATTGGGTCACAAATCCCAAAACTATACGGACGCGTAAAAATACACAAACCAGGAGCGCCGTTAAGACCCATACTCTCTATGATAAACTCGCCGTACCACAGACTAGCACAGTGGTTATGTGAACTGTTGCAGCCATTGTTGAAACGTTTCGGAACACATGTAGTCTCTGATTCATTTCAATTTGTCAATCAAATTAAAGATTTCAATGTATCCGATAAGCATTTGGTCTCTTTCGATGTTACCTCCCTTTTCACAAATGTGCCAGTTGTTGAGACTATCGACTTCATATGTAAAGAAGCTGAAGACATACCCATTCCAACATCGGAATTGAGGAAATTACTACTTTTATGTACTAAAAATGTCCAATTCCAATTCAACGGGCGTCTGTTCCGTCAAGTTGATGGTGTCGCAATGGGAAGCCCTTTGGGACCACTTTTCGCCGACTTATTCCTGTCACGCCTAGAAACCGGTGCTTTGCAGCAACATATACAAGAAACAAATGTATACCTAAGATATGTTGATGACATTTTTATTGTCTGTGAAAGCAGATCAAAAGCGGAAGACATGTTGATAAAATTCAATTCATGCCATCCAAATCTCAATTTCACAGTAGAACACGAGGAAAACGATACTATGAAATTCCTAGACGTTTTTCTAGCCAAAATGAATGATGGCACAATCGAAAGATCTATATTTAGAAAGTCTTCATGGACAGGACAGTACATGCATTTCAAGAGCTTTGTCCCAATCCAGTACAAAAAGAACCTAGTCAGAACACTGTTCAATAGAGCACGGAAAATTTGTTCTGACAGTACTATTGAACAGGAAATAAAATCTCTGAAGGATATTTTATCTAAGAATGGATATCCTGAGAAGTTCATTAATAAATACTCCAAAGAAACTACCCCCGCAAAACGATTCAAACAGTTCCAAAGAAACCTGTTTATATCAATTTACCGTTCAAAGGAGATGACGTACAAGAAGTAGTGAAACGAAGACTCGACAAAGCCATCAAGAGAACTTATTATGCTGCAAAACTTGTTATCCTTAACACCACCAAGCGAGTGCTTCAACAATCTGGGAAAGACCAGTCGCCAATCCTCGACACTTCAAACTGCATATATCAATTTGAGTGTGTTTGTGGCAGCAAATACATAGGTCGTACGGAAAGGCGATTGTCTACTCGCATGATGGAGCATTTGCCAAAATGGTTGAAAACAGCTGAGTTCAAAGTGCCAAAATCCTCAATAACAAAACATCTTGTAGATTACGGACATGATATCGACGCAGTCAAGTCATTTACCATTGTCAGCAAACAAAGAAACAAGAAGATGCTTGCAATTGCAGAGGCTTGTGCAATTCGAATTTATAAACCAGCTCTCTGTATACAAAAGGAGATGGTCGTAACTCTTAATCTACCATGGTAATACGTTTTATTCTCTACTTGTTATTATTCTACCTCTTCTTCTTCTTATTTTTGTTATTATTACTGCCATTATTATTATTCTTGATTCATTTAAATCTATGCTTTATCCGTAAGATTATCTTAACTCACTTCAACACTATTATTATTATTGTTATTATAACTATTACTATTGATATTAGTCTGTTTGCAATTCTAGTTATATTCCCTAATGACTAATTGTTTATCTAAGTGATGTAATTGAAGCGTAATGCAATTTATCTTAATTTTGATCTCTCATACTCTCTCTCTCCCCTTATCTATTTGAACATGACCTGGAAAATATTCGCACCTGTCTCTCTGCATGATTAATTCAATGTAGTTTGTTTACTTATCAGCCTTATGTCTCCCTATGTAATTTCAAAAGTATATATATTCGTGTATGTAGAGTATTCAACTTATCAGTCTTATATCTCCCAATGTAATTTCAAAAGTATATGTATTCGTGTATGTAGAGTATTCAGCTGACGAGTTCTACCGAAATTTGATGAATTCATTAAATCCTGCTTTATTAACCTTTATTGCTTGTTTTAAAATCACATTCTAATTGATTTCAGAAGCTAATTGAGACCCTGGGACATATTAATGTTGGATGTAAACACCACACCTTCTTAATCGTGAAACATTACTGAAACATGGCATAAAAAAGATGTCTACACGTCTTTTAAACCCATACATTAGACATGTGGAGGGAGTGTCATAAAGTTTGTAGCAGCCTTAACAGTTAGGAAGTTTGAGCCACCTTTGCATAATTGAAGACAATCCGTTGTCACACTAAACCTGTCTGTGTTAATTTTGTCTTGAACCCAAGACTTGTGTACTATTATCTTCTTTTCTCGGTTTACTGATCGCCACTGTTATTTTGACTTTGAATGTAGCTCTTTAATTTGAACTATGTTTATTCTTCCACCCCTTAAAAAACTTCATTTTTTCAAATAAATTCCTACGACAAGCATATGTGTAATCTAACTGTTCAAAATGTATTGCGCAAATACATTACACAATCCCGAAAAAATTCCCTTCTTTTTGTTACTTTATGGAGAATGTGAGGGCGCAATGAGAATACCGGATTCATGGTCAATACTTTAAACGCAACTACCGATACCTTAAGGGAATCTTAACTGAATACAATATTTATAACCAAGTGGCACATTAATGTTATTACACTTGATTTACAGAACAACACAATGCTGCTCTTGAACTACAAGTTACAATACAGTTTCCATTTACATCAGACACCATATTTGGCCGTACATTTCCCTGGTTATATTTATTGGTATAGCTGAATCTAGCTGAGAAAAACGATCTGGCAGTCTACTGTGAGTAGAAAGCTCCAATGTGAGATTTTATTGTCAACACAACAGTAGATAAAGAAATAACCAGCCTATTGGGAATCGTCTGTACTTTTTCGAGATGATGTTTCGTTTTTGTTCATCGCTATGAACAACAAAATGTACAACTTTACAGTCCTTCACACCAGTAAATCTAACTAAACTTAGTAAGATCAGAATCAGTAACAGACGCTAGAAGGAGGATAAAAAGGAATATACTAAATTCATTGCATTCATTAAGGATGAATACTCTGATAAGTGGTCACTGAATAAAATATTTAGCCATGAATCGTCCCATACTGAACCTGATATGTTTGGTGTGCATTCCTTGGGAAATAAACTGTTCAAAAGAATTTTTAAAGAATTTCGACTGCAGCACGATTAAGATGATTAGCTAAATGAAACAAATGAGTGGCAATCAGCAGAAATCTATATAAACAAACTACAAGTTAAGGTAGAAAGGATTGAATCAGTGTACAAATTAAACACAATCAATATTAAAGACTGGGGTCTTACAGATACCTTGGGGTTTAATTTGACAAATAGTATGTACATAAATATGAATTCAAACTAAACAATTCTATCCTCTCAGAGTAATTTGTAGTACAGAGAAAACTTAGTTCAAAAATCATAAAGTTATCAAAACAAACCTCGGAATAACCAACAGCAATATCATCAGTTACAGGATTGGCGAAAATTCCACGAGGGTCTCTGCGAACAAGATTCTGATGAATTTCATTTAGTACAGTATAAAGGTTTCGACTTGTAACTTCGGTTAGAACATCAGGCTCTAAAACACAAAAAACGAAGTAATCAATATAATTGTGAAGTTTCTTAGAAGTAATTGCAAAACAAATGTCAAGAGATCTTAAAAGATCCCAAGAATATTGTGGTCCCTTACTTGCATATTGCTTTATGGTAAACCTGGAAAATAACGTATTACGACCCGATGTCAAAAGTTTTCATGTGTGCTGAATATGAAAAAGGTGCCAATAATCGATTATAATTATATTTCAATAGTTTACTGTCTGTCTGTTTTCGACATAGAACTTTGCACAAATGTGCGGAAGTTCAAATCGCCACACTCCGTGTAGCACGCGAAGCAAGAGAAGAAAGTACAAGAAAAGCATAATAGAGACAGTGAGCAGAGGGGTGAGACAGAGGAGTAATAAAGAAAAACAAAACAGTTTCATTGGAGATCATAAGTCACAAGGAGTGGATGCATCTGCGCTAGCCACTGAGAACGATTTTGAGCCATGTCACCAACTGCTTCCAACCATAGATTTTTACCATCCCGAGGACCCCAGCCTGAAAGTCTACACCTTCCTACGTGGCTTAGACCAACTGTTGTGGATTTCATTGACTGATGAAGCCATGTTTTGGTTTGACCGCCGCTAGCTTTTTTCCAGCCTGACCCTATATCCGCTAACATTGCTCGTCGAGGGAGGCGATGGCTTGGCATACGTAACACATGTCCTAACCATCTCAGTCTTTGTAATTTCACGACTTCGTCGATTGATTTACCTGTTTACCTAGAACTCGACGCCTAACTTCAATGTTGCTCACCTTATTTTCAATATTTTACACACAATGATAAGTTTTTCCTTTTGGTAATATTTCGAGTAAAATTACTGCCCAATAATGGACTTAAGTAATTACCATCATTCTGTCAATTTTACATTGGAATTCAAAGTAAACTCTGAATTGTTTTTTTTGGATGTTCAACTGAAAAGGTCTAACGGTTCTCATCAGAGATGAATCTACAGGAAGACAACGTTGAACGTTCGGCAAAGTTCAACAATAGCGTCCCAAGGGATGCGAACACACGAGTGACCTTTGGCCGACTAATCATGAAAATGAGAATTAACGTGTATTTACAGGAAAATGCATGAAAACACATCATACAGGGTATCTTCCCCTCGCATGACTTAAAAATACGTCCTAGTTATAATGAAGAGTATCAGTTACTAAGTTAGACTACTTTCTGTACATGTATTCACCGAGGTGACTGAAGATGAGCTGTTTTTTTTAATCGCTTATCTCTCTTATCCTGTTGTGCAGTCTCGCCCAAAAGCCGTCGGATGAATTACTATGGTTTCCAGTAAGAGGACCGACGACTATTTACCAGGAACATGTGGATAACGCTAACCATAATCCTATCCCTAATTACAACCCTTATCCTAATTATGACCCTGATCCTAACCATAATCCCAATACTTACCGTAACCCTAATCCTAGCGAGCTGTTAACACATTGTCCATACAGTACTTAAAAACGTGATCTGAGTGAAATTTGCCGCTTAGTTGGTGAACAGCGTTGATATTACAGCTATGATAGTGACAGGTGCCATCAGCCAACGACTAGCATGCGTTCAAGGTGATTGGAGCGTTGGCACTCCTGGGACGCTATTGTTGAACTTCGCCCGTTCGTTTGATAAGAGAATTTTCACAGGTGGAGCCTTTTGAGAAGAAAAAGAAACCCAATCCACTTCAAGAATAGAAAGGATTTGAACTAATGACATAATAGATGAACTACAGAGGCTTGAATAAGTCCTCATTCCAAACAGATACTCTACAAGATAAGTCGAGAAAAACACGAGCGTAAAGCAGGAACCTGTAAGAATTCATAGGGTACCGAAGAAACTGTTCTTGAAAAATAACCAATTTAAAGGCGTTACTGAGACCGAAAACCGCCTATCCAGATCGCTGAGAAAAGCATTCTTTCCAGCGGAGCTATAGATTAATCACTACAGTCAGTACAGTATCAGTGGAAGTGTGAAGGGAGAACTGCCCCTTTGGGCCAAACGCAAAAATATGGAGAAAAGAGTAATGAAGCAACAATTAGTGAAGAAGTACGGGAAACAGAATAATTAGGCTATAAGCAATAGTTTCAGACATTTTAAGTTAAGTATATCTGTACTGTTGTAAACTACTTCTACCCGAGGAACAAACAGTCGCCAACCACTTGTTTTGAGCATTCCAAGGACTCTGATTTTTATGGAAATAGAAATACTTCCTCTGACTAGGAATATTCGATCACAAGCTCTAATCATTCTGAATGGTGTTAAAAACCCGACAGACAGCTGCTAACTTACGTCATATATATATCAATTAAATGAAATCAAATTTTTACCCAATCAAACAGGATGTATCAAATAAGAAGCATCTAAGCTAAATGTTTCCCTGGATGAGATTATTTAGAAATTCGATAGTACTTGAAATAAACTGAGTAGGAGACACACTTAAACTCTGATGAATAACATTATGGTAAACAAACAATATGGCTGAGGCAAAGTATTCATACTAGTAGTATGGCGGACTACAAACCACAGGTGGACAACACGTCAAATTCCGGCAGGTGAGGCAGACTGACAAAAGCACCGATTCAAGTCACCTCAATTCCAAAACGTATGAAAAAGGGTAGCCAGACAACATAAAAAACTAAAACTAAAAACCTAGAGGAAGTGGTTGCCAAATAAACCAATAGGCATAAAATGGCATTTAAGAGCGTGCTTGTGACCCCAAAGATAAAAGGCGCTGGAAAGCAAAGCATGACTTTTGAAAGTGGGACCTATTTTTTGCAAGTTCGGCAGAGCAGGATTTTCTCTAATGCTGAAAATATATAACTATAAGCGAGAAAAAGGACTGAATCAAAAAACTGTAGAGACCTAATCCCAGTATGCTTTTAGTCACTTTAGAGGTATCAGAGTTGATGTGCCAAGCTAATACGCAACATTTTCATCAAAAACTACAGTTTTAGCTATTCGGTAAATGAGTTGAAAACTCATTCTTCGCAAAATGGTGATGATACTAGACGAACCTCAGAGACCTACAAGAATTTTCACGAATGAAAATTTGACAGACACGTACGCAAGTAAGGCGTTACGAAGATTATTGAGCAGTGCTTTGTTGTATATAATTAGCACTCAGTGAATCTGGCCAAGCATCCTCTGAAGATTTCGAAAACTAGTAGTGAGTACAGGTATTAGACTTTCAAAATCTTGAACACTGTACAATTATTCTACAGATTCGGCTGAACGTACAAATAGGGGTGAGGTAAAAGAAACCACATTCCGAATATTCGGAGTATATGGAGGGCTTTAAATAATGAAAGTGAACAACTTGTTTAACAAGATTTACATGCACTGAATGAATGGTGTAACCATTAGTCCTTAAAGCTTACCACAAGTAGTTGTTTAGTTACGTATGTCGCTTGTAACTACATGAACAACTACTCGACAAATGGTTTTAATCCATAGAGGATTGAGAAGTAAACCATGACCTCAAAACCTCAACCAATTGTAGAGTGGTAGTTGTGAAGCGTCCTAGGATATTTTGGGCTTTTAATAGGGCACTTGTAAGTTTTGATGCTATATTTCCCAAATTATACCCAACTTCATTTGGAATATGAGATCCAGGCAACCTATGTTTACAGAATAAAGCAGACACTAGGAAGAATGAAAAGATTCAGGACTAAAATTATCAGTGGATTCTCAAGTCAGTCATAAGGATAGATTAGAACTACATTGACTGCCTCTTTGATACTGGCAGTTGAGGTATTATCTGACCTAATCAGTCCGTACTTCACACAAAAATCTTGTCTATTTCCCCTACCCAAGAAGGACCACCTGCAAGGACATCAACATATACATAGAGGATCACAGTCGAATCATCTGTGACCAAGTGTTAGTTTCTTAAGTCGAATTGTGAGTTAGTGAAATCCTCTGTCTGGGTGGACTGTATCAGCACCTTCAACTGATTCATTTACTAGAAGACCAGACGGGTGTTGTGCTGCTAATGCCGAGAGTTAACCCTAATTGGTACTAATCAGTACAAGTCCATAGTTTAGCATCCAAAACGGAAACAGGTGCTGATATCCCTTGTTAAGTTTGAATAAACTGCTGTATTCAAGCGTAAAAAGAGGGAACAAAGTACCAGAATTCTGGTACAGATATTTAAGTATCTGAATATACCCATTCTGCACTTTAAAAATGAACATAAGCCCATGAAAAACCAACCAGCTGACAAGTGCAAAACTTTAGTAAGGTTTACCATAGAAACCTTCACAGATTATTCAGTTGCATTTATACAACGCCTCGAAATACTATTATGCATTATTATACTTCTTAACTGAACATGTTAAAAGCTTTAAGTGAACTTACCTGCATCTTCGAAGCAGTCTTGCGTAGGTTTGCTTCCAGAAAATGATATCTTTAACTTAAGAGCATTGTCTGAATTAGCCACACAATGTAGTCCATTGGAGTTATTATCATCAGCCATCACTGTAACGCACAGCGCGTTTTGAGCGCTAAAATTATTGTCGTATTATTTGCTTAGTTTCAAGGGAACCATATTTACATATCCCATTTTGTTCCTTTATTTCACCTTTCGCTGTTATCCTTGACCCTAGGCTCAAAATCAACCCACCTAAAAAAGATTAATGGCTGGTGTAAGGCTGAGAGGAGAGAGGAAGAGATCCAAAAGCAGTGACACTAGCAAGGTGGGATATTGCGTTGGTTCACAGTGATATTATATATTCTATCCATGACCAGTGTAATACACGAAAACATTACCATGATGAAACAAGTAACAATGTGCAGACGATGTTCATTCTAATAAGATTTCAAGCTTAAACTTACCTCTGTTCTTGTCTGCTGGGTGTTATATGTTATGTGACACCGTAAACAAAATTCTCATGATCCAGCTGCACTGCACCAACCCTTTTTCGGTTTCAGTGTTAAATTCTGTTGGTTTACGTATTAAGAACACTGAATTTGGAATAAAGCTGTTATTATTATTATTATTAATTCACAGTTGCTGTTTTGGATTTATGTTATGGGGGCTAGAATCTATTTGAGATGAACTGATATGGTTACTAGGTATTCTCGGATTTGGAATCTTGTATTCATATTCCATATCTATCAGAAACAACTTCAGTGCTGATCTCTCAAGAATCGGTGACTGCTTAGGCATGTCTTGTTGTTTGTCTGCCAGCAAATAATTTAATTATGACTAGATATATCAAAGGTTTGAGAATAATCTGGATATTCAGGATGTAGTGTGTGTACCCTTGGAGCAATCCACATTACCATTTGTATGTTTCCAGGCAATAAGAGATACACGAAAGATAGAGTGTATGCACAGATCGCCCAACAGGAGGTTCTGTGAGTGGTTGCACAACCAATATTCATGGCAACCATTTCAGTGTGTTCATGAGATTTTTAACGTTTGAAAGTATCCTAAGCTTGGTTTTTTCACAAGCTAGCACCTGCCAAGTCCACATATCTTTCACCTTCAGAAAGCTGAGCAAAAGTCAGTGAACACAAAATACACTTACAAGGTCAGGAGTCCTGAATGCCATAGGGTTACAAGGAGCGAGAAATGGAGGGGAGTCCTATAGAATCCCCCTAGAAGCTCTGAAAGTCCACACAGAAACGTCGCCTGACATGCTGATGACATTAATACAGGAGTTGAGTAATGAAGGAAAGATAGTCGTTATTTAGTAGACATGTTACCTTGATATTCCTAGATTCTCCCTATGCTATCATCATTAAGTCCGTGAATAGCCATGTGTCAAATTCTCATTTGACTAGTTTGGTGTGATGTTTAAAACGGCTTGGTCATGACGTTAGATCACCCAGTTTAAGGAGTCAACAAGTCGTGCGGTCCGAGTGCAGCTCTTGCAGGACAGATCGCTATGCAATAACTGAGAATGATTCCTAGTTAAGGCCTACGAAAAACAAACCACAAGTCATTCAGTCAGTGAAACTAACGAGTCCCCTAAGCCGCAGACATTTAAGAACGACTTATTTCATCCAGGAATATTTAGTGTTTCCTTTTCACACTGCTATAATTACGTATGTGTTCTGATCGAAGTTATCAGCCTACAGCTCTCACCATTCAACATTGTGTGCCGTCCATGACTCGGCCTGGCGTCAACCCCATTTGTAACGCTGCTGTATCACGTTCAGCCACCAGTGAACGCACAACAGCTGGTTAAACAGTCATCTTGGCCCTACACTTCTGATCTCGAATTGTTTCCTGTTTCAGACAATCAATTTATCGTTTTGATTTGCCTCCGGTCACAGTAGAACAGATTTCAAGAGACAAAAATATGTTGAAACTTACGAGAGGCACGATATGTACAGACGCATATTTTGTCCCCCAACTCTTGCGGCATTTATTCTGCTTGGACCAAAGACGAATCAAAACGCCGCATTGGCTTTCCGGAAAGCAAGGTGTGTGTCTAAACCGAAATCATCATCATAATAATAGTATAATTACTTTATTCCACAGCAATAACAATTCACAGCATGGAATTTTCAGCGTTCCTTTTACATATTGCAATGGTTTAGCTCTGTTTATAATTATATAAATGTATAAAATGTTAAAATATTGATAGTTAATAGGAAAAAATAAAACCCCAACAAAATCACACCATTGCTAGGTCATAGTGAATAATAAATAAATAATATAAAAAATAACACATGCATTAATATGTATCATTACATTTTATAGTTTAGTTAATGATTTAAAAGTTGTAAAAGTTCTTTTCTGATATTTATCTCTCCACATAATACTCGTGCCAAATATGGTACGGTAGAATTTTTATATTTTGTAGTACGAGCATAAATGTTTATGAAATTTCTCCTGGCCTTACCCGAGGAGATACAAGGAAACAATTGTGAATAAAGAGGATGTTCACTATCAGATAAGATAACTTTAGCTAAGTGTTTACAAGAATTCATATGCCTATTGACAACAGTGTCATTTAGTTGAGTCAAAGGGATAGCACTGACCCTACTTACAGCCCTCAATATTCTTCATAGTATTATATGGTCTTTCTTGAGTAGCCCAGGGAAGAATAATGGAGAACAATAAAAATGATGGGCAAAACACATGAATTAATAAATTGTATGAGAAGAGATTGGGTTATACCTGAGTGCCTCGACTTCTTTATGTAATAAGTCAGACGGAAAACTTTCTTAGAAACTATAAGAATATGAGACGACCGGCAAAGGTTTGAAGAGAAACTAATGCCAAGATAAGAAACACTTGACTTACTCTCTATCATGGTACCATCAATATTACAACAATCATGAGATTTGATCGATCCATGCATGTCTTTTTCACTTCTCAAGCTGAAATCAACAGTTTTACATTTAGTTGGATTTAGTTTAAGACCATTTGAGCCAGACCAATCCTTAACTTCAGCTAAGAAGCCATTCATATGGGAACAGTCCGATGTGGAAACTACAGGGACAGAAACGGTCAGATCATCAGCATACTTCATGAAGTTAACTTTGGGTGAGTTCGGAAGGTCATGCAAAAAGAAAGAGAAAAGAAATGGAGAAAGTACTGCACCTTGAGGCACACCACTTTCAGTTAGCTGAGAAGTGGAGCGCTTTCCAGCCAAAACAGTATGCTGTTTCCTATCCTTAAAATAAGAAGACAGCCATCTAGTTGCCCAGGACTCTGTTTGTGCTGAAATCATCTTTCCTAATAAAAGTGTCCTAGGAACAGAGTCGAAAGCTGCAGTATAGTCTAAAAAAGCTGTTCGAACGAACTTAGCACCCTTATCAAGGCAGGAAACAATATTGTGGTGTAGTATAATGGCTGCATTTAATGTACTTCTTCCACACTTATAAGCAAACTGCTTAGGGTCACCAAAAGCTTTTAAAGGAGGTTTAAGAATATTCAAAAGAAGTTTCTGCATAGTTTTCAAAAAAGGAGATGTTATAGCGACCGGTCTAAATTTTATACCTGCTCCAGAAGATGATTTCTGTACAGGTACAACCTTGATTTCTTTCAAGTCAGCAGGTGCCGTTTCCCTGTTAAATGATGCGTCAAAGATTTGGGTAAGAGGATGATACAAGATGTCTGCACACTTTTGAAGAAGAATGCTTGGTACACCATCTGGACCAAGGCTGTGTGTTGGATTTAATGATTTCAAACATATTAGTACATCCTCTTCTTTAAAACCCGGAAAATGACCATTTTCTTGACCAGGTACATCAGGTACAACCATATTAATTTGTTTCTTGATAAATGATTTGTTTAATGCACTAACATCAGAATAAGCATCAACAGACATTTGGTTTTTACTTGTAAGTTTATTGAAAAGTTTCCAAATGTTTGAAGGATTTTTACATGATAAAAATTTTCATTATATAGTCTGTTCAACCTTTCTATTTCAATTTTTATAAGGGTGTTTATTTTTCGGACACCAGTTGTCAATGGAGTTGAAGATTGAACGATCAATTCATGGTTGTTTGCTCAAAACAACTTCCCCAATTTTCGCGGAGGCATCAATACGACAGTCATCGTCTCATCGGTCGCTGTTCAGAAAGAAGAGTGAAACATCGTCAGAAGTAATACAGAGATTTATTATTGTAATATTTGTTTTCAGACCTTAGTTCGCTTATTCCTTTTATATGTTGGTGTAACAATAAACAAATCTAAAGCGGCAGATCAGTGTTTTGGTTTTTGCGTCCGTTATAACTAAGCGTTTCTGAGAAATCTTCGAAGAACAGCGTGGGCCCGAGCGTAGCGAGAGCTGGGCATTAACGGTTTATGAGACGTGATTGACAGTTTCTGACGATAGAAACAGATCTGGCGGATTGAAACAGTTGGTGAAAGTTTGGATAGTCGCCGTTCATCTTTCCTGGTGCCGGTCAAGTCCTCTTTGAACAAGCAATATCTGGAACTTTTTTGGAATTGGGTCAAGTTCAACAATGCCTGGGTCAAAGAAGGGACAGAGTGTCTTGGATGCAAACAGGAAAGTAAGTCATGGTGACTTGTCTGTTAATTGTAACGATGTGTCTGATGTTAAGCATGACATGGTTGATGTTACTGTTTCGCCGTTCAGGGATAATAGGAACATCAAACTCCCTAAATTTGAACCACGATGTTTTGATGGAAACCCGGCTGATTATTTACAATTTGTAAAGGAGTTTGAGATCATGTTGAGTGGTTTTTTATTAAATGATGAATTGAAGTTAATGTATTTGATGAGATATTGCACTGGAGATGCTGCAAGAGCTATACAGTGCTGTAAGTTTATGAAGCCAAAAGAGGGCTACTACGAGGCTATGAGCATATTACGTCAAAGGTTTGGAAGACCTTCGATGATTGCAGGGAAATTATTCGAGGCTGTTAAGGGTAATGGTGGTCAATTACAGGATGACTCCCAGGCACTCACTGAGTTTTTAGATAATTTGCTAATTTACAAGAATGGAATGATTTCGATGAATCGCATGAGTGACCTCAACTCGAGTTTTATACTAGAAGTAATAGCAAGACGTCTACCTACTCGACTGCAAAGGAAGTGGGTGAAGATAAGCTCCCGTATGGAGGATGAGGGTATCGAGCCAAAGTTTGATGATATCCTGAAACTGGTAAATACTAGTGTCAATCAATCTATGAGCAAGTTCGCCAGTCTATTAGATCTCACCCCTAGAATAGAGCAGTCTGAGATCAAAATGCAA